TGTGTATTTGTGCTTTCTCCCTTTTTTCCTTTGTGAGCCTGGCTAGGGGTTTGTCTATTTTTATTTATTTTTTCAAAGAACCAGCTCTTGGTTTCATTGATCTTTTGGATTGTTTTTTTAGTTTTCAATTTCATTTATTTCTGCTTTGGTTTTATATTATTTCTTTTCTTCTACTGGTTCTGGGGTTTTTTGTTGTTCTTTTTCTAGATCTTTGAGCTTCGAGATTAGGTTGTTTCTTTGAGTTCTTTAGATGTGAGTTCTATTGCTATATATTTTCCTCTTTACTGCCTTTTGCTGCATCCCATACATTTAGGATATTGGTGTCCTCCTTGTCATTCAATTCAAAGAATTTTTAATTTCTTCTTTGATCTCTCGTTAGTCCAGTGGTCTTCCAGTAGTGTGGCTTTTAATCTCCATGAGGTAGGATATCCTTGCCTTCTTTTTATGAATTTCTAGTTTGATGCCTTCGTGGTCAGAAAAGATGGTTGGTATGATTTCAATCTTGGTGTATCTGTTGATGTTTGTCTTGTGCCCCAGTATGTGATCGATCCTGGAGAATGATCCGTGTGCGCTTGAGAAAATGTGTACTCCGTTTTTTTTGGGTTTAGTGTTCTATAGATGTCTGTTAAGCCAAATGCTCTAGGTCCTTATTTAGAGCTTTAGTTTCTTTACTTATTTTTGTCTTGTTGATCTATCCATTGTTGATAGTGGTGTGTTGAAGTCTCCCACTACATATGTGTTTTCTCTGATGTCTGTTTTCAGAGAGGACAACAGTTGTCTGATATATTTTGGTGCTCTTTTCGTTGGTGAGTATATGTTAATGAGTGTTATTTCTTCTTGAAGTATTGTCCCTTAATCATAATTGTGACCATTGGGGTCTCTTTTTATTTTTTGAGTTTGAAGTCTGTTTTATCTGATATAAGTATAGCTGTTTCCTGCTTTCTTTTTGGCCCATTTGCTTGTAGGATTGTTTTCCATCCTTTGACTTTGAGCCTATTTTTATCTTTTGTAGCTAAATGTGTTCCTGAGACAGCAAAAGGTTGGGTTTTGTTTCTTAATCCAGGCTGCAACTCTGTGTCTTTTTATTGAAGAGTTTAGTCCATTTACATTTAGAGTTAATATTGATATGTTAGCATCTGGTATTTGCCAATTATGTTTGTCTTCCTTTGATTTTATTTATTTATTCTTTTAATAACTTTTTTTTTTTTTTTGGTCTTCTTTCGTTGTTATTCGTCCCTCTGAGGTTCTGGCTTTAGGATTCCTTGTAGTATTTTTTGGAGTGGGGGTTTAGTCGCAATGAAATTCCGGAGTTTCTCTTTGTCTGGGAAGTCCATATTCTTTCTTCATGGAGGAAAGAGAGCTTTGCGGGATAGAGTATTCTTGGTTGGCATCTGTTTTCTTGGAGTCTGTTGACTATGTCCCTCCACTCTCTCCTTGCCCGTAGTGTTTCTTCAGAGAAGTCTGATGTCAGCCTGATTGGTTTTCCTTTGAATGTTATCTGTTTCTTCCCTCTTGTCAGCTTCATTATTTTTTCCTTGTCCTGGATTCTTGGGAGCTTTACTATTATGTGTCTTGCTGTGTTTTTCCTTTCGTCGTGGAAGTTTGGTGTTCTTCTTGCTTCTTGTATATCAATTTTCAGCTCCTTCTTCTCATTTGGGAAGTTCTCTTCAATTATATCCATGAATATTTTCTCTGTTCCTACATCTCTCTCCTCTCCTTCTGGAATTCCTATAACTCTTATATTTCCTTTCCTCATGGAGTCAGATAGTTCCCGAAGTCTTTCTTCATTCTTTTTCCTTCGTACTTCTCTTTCCTTTTCTGTTTTGGTTCTTTTTATTTCTGTGTCTTCAAGATACTTATTCGTTCTTCCATTTCATCTATTCTGCTTTCATTGCTTTTCCCAGAGTTCTTTAGTTCCTCCATTAATCTTTGATCTCCTGCATTTCTCTTACTTCCCTCTTTAGGGACTCAATTTCCTTCTTCTGATCTATCACTTTTTTAATCATGGCAATTTTAAATTCTCTTTCTGGAAGGCTCAGAAGTTCTTCCAAGTTGCTGTCGTTGCAATCTCGGGAGTGTTTTCTTTTTGTGGTGTGCTTCTTTCCTGAGTTTTTAGGTTGCGTGTGGTTCTTCTACTCCCTACTGTCTGTTTTCTAATTTGTCGTATGCGTGGGACACTGTGTTGCTCGGACTGATGACATCTTGGGTGGAAACTTCTCGCTCCCCTCTGGCTCTTCCAGGAGCCATCTCTGTCTTCTGGGGGAGCTTTCTGCTGGTTTTAGGCAGTTTTTACTGAAGAAATGTCCCTGTTCTCAAATGGCGAAGCGGGATGCAGTCCCTGCGCCTCTGGTTTCAGGCACACTCTTCTGCGCACCCGGTCTGCCCCGGACGTGGGTGCCTGCTCCCTCTGTGGGCTCAGACTGCTGGTCGGAAGGGGCCTGGCGTGGGATAACTTCCCGGCTGGCCACTGGGTCCTCCAGAAAACCTTCTGCCCTTTTCAAGCAGTCTTAAGAAATGTCCTGTTTTATAGGGTGTTAGTGACTTTTTTTTTCCTGGTCGCTAGGTGGCGCCAGAGATCTCTCCTATTGTCCTTGGGGGGCTGTTTTTCGCCTCCCCCCACCCCGTGGGACAGAGAACAGAGCGGGAATGGTAGGGTACACCTCAACAGCTTTGGGGTGCTGTGTCTGCCTTGTGCCCCACCGTCGTGGAGAAACCACGCCCCGAATTTTCGTGCCCCGGGTCTCAGTTCAAAGCCCTCAGTTCCAGGACGCGGGCTGTAGCCCAGTTCAGTGGCGCGGGAATGGCGCCTTTTGCACAGCTCCCGTGCCTGGCGCCTGGTTCCTGCTCACTCAGGGAGGGACCTTCACCTCAGTGAGGACCTCCGCGCGTCTCCCCGCAAGCCTAGGTCGTCTCCCCGCAAGCCTAGGTCGCAGGCGCGGGGACCTGGGCAGCCGCGATCCAGGTCTGCACTTGCTTTTCAAGCGCGCCGCTTTTCCGCGCCAGCTTACCGGCAGCCCGGGCTGTGTGCGCGTCTCCCGGAGTCTTTGTTCTTCTCTAATGGCGCCCGGAGCCGTTCCCTCACCGCCGCGGCGGATCCTGCAGGGTTCGCCTCAGCTCCCATTCACGGGGTGTGGTGGCTGCAATAGTTCCTTTCCACTACAGTCCCGCTTGCCTGCTCGTTTGTTTTTGTTGCCGTTTTGGTTTGTTGTTTCCCTCCTCTCTGCCGGTCGGAGAGTGCCGCCTCTGTGGGCGGGGGAGGGGAGCAGGGTTCTGCGCTTCCCTCCCTTCTGGTCCTCTTTTATGGCCACTTTCTTCTTCGGGCAGTTCGCTGGAGTCACCCGTTTATCTTCCGTGTCCCGGTTCTCACTGGGACCTGCCGCTTTTCCTCCCTATTCACTTTTTTTAATGGGAGATCTTACTCGCAGCGTCTCCTCGCCGCCATGTTGCTCCGCCCCCCTCAGATTAATAATGTTTCTATGCCTACTAACAAAAAATCCATTCTGCAACTCATAGATCAAAGAGTAATTTCAACTTTCAGGTTTCATTGTTTAAGAAATAAATTTCATAAGGCTGTAGCTGCCATATGTAGTGATTTTTCTGATGGATCTGGGCAAAGTAGATTGAAAACCCTATGGAAGGTATTCACCATTTTAGGTTGCATTAGGAACATTCATGATTCATGGTAGGATACAATATCAACATTAAGAGAGATTTGAAAGTTGATTCCAACCTTCGTGGCTGACTTTGAGGGATTTAGAACTTCAGTGGAGGAAGTAACATAACATATGGTGGAAATAACAACAAAGTTAGAAATGGATCCTGAAGGTGTGACTGAATTGCTGCAGTCTCATGATGACTTTAACTGATAAGGAATTTCTTCTTGGAAGAGCAAAGTGGTTTCTTGAGATGGAATCTCTTCCTGGTGAAGATGTTGTGAACATTATTGAAATGACAACAAAGTCAGTCCTGTATAATAATCTTAGTTGATAAAGCAGCAGCAGGCTTTGAGAGGATAGATTATAATTTTGAAAGAAGTTCTACTCTGGGTAAAATTGTATCCTACAGCATCATGTTATAGAGAAATCTTTCATGAAAGGAAGAGTCAATTGATGTGGCAAATTTCATTGTCTTATTTTAAGAAATCCCAACAGTCATCCCAGCCTTCAGCAGCCCAGCTGCCATTGGTATTGAGACAACACCACCAAGCAAAAAGATTGCATCTTCCTGAAGGCTCAGATGATGGTTAGCATTTTTTGGCAATACAGTATTTTTAAATTAACATATTAAGACATAAATTTAGTTCTCAATAGACAGCAGTATAGTGTAAATATAACATTTATATGCTCTAGGAAACCAGAAAATTAGTGTGACATGCTGTATTGCAATAGTTTATTGTGGTAGTCTGGAACCAAACTCTCAGTATTTTCCTGTACTATATGACATCTTTAAGCATCTCATTTTGATTTATCAAAAAAAAATAAAAATATTTTCAAATGATTTTTTTATTCTTAGGTTAAGATGGAAGACTGAACGTGTATCTCATTTTTGTTCTCTCTTTAAAACAGATTCTATGTGTGGTTAGGCTTTAGAATGAACCTCACCTAATACTCAAACTTTTGTATGGTCCCATCCCACCCTGAATAGGGTGGACTTGTGTAAACAATTGGATATTATGGAAATGACAGGAGCTAAATATGACCACTGTGATTAAATAGATATAAATTTATATAAAAATAGCAGGAATAAGTAACAAAAATCAGGGTAATAGTTATTTCTGACAGAGAACAATGGATGTGCTATAATGGAGAGGCACAGGTTAGATTCATGTGTTAATTTCAATGTTCTGGGTACTTGCTGTTGCGAGTAGGACTGTGTTATGAATCCAAGAATTACTAACTTCATTGTCTGGGGAAATGTATATATATAACATTGTTCTAGAATCTCGAACAAATTTTACTGAGTGTATTTACTCATCTGCCTCCTCATCTCCCTTCCCACAGGGATTATTCTTGAAAGAAGTCTTGTAAAAGAGAATTCTTAACAATGGCTTCAGCAGTGCTTAGTTCTGTTCCCACTACTGCTTCTCGTTTTGCCCTGTTGCAAGTGGATAGTGGCAGTGGTTCTGATTCTGAGCCTGGAAAAGGCAAAGGTCAGAATACTGGAAAGTCTCAAACAAGCAAATCAACTACAAATGAGAAAAAGAGAGAGAAAAGGAGAAAAAAGAAAGAACAACAACAGAGTGAAGCAAATGAGGTAACACTTTTAATTATGTGTTTTTCTAATAGACTGTAAGCATGTTGTGGACAGGTCCTGCTGTCTCATTGACCCATGTATATATTATACCTGGTCCATAGATATTTGACTTGAAGGAATGGATGTAACTTTGTGTGTGTGTAAATTGAAATGTAAAGAACGTTTTTTAAATGCCTTTATTTTTTTCTAATTATGGAAGCTTATATGGTCATTTTAAAAAGTTTCTAAAGAACAAAAGTCTTAAGAGGAAACAAAATGATATATAAATACAACTAGAGATATAACCAATTAATATTTTGGTATATGTTTTCTGTAAAACTGTATAAGTTTATATGAATGTATAGATATACATATATTCATATTATATGTTAACAAAAATGTGATTATAGAATAGATTTTTATAACTGACTTAAAAATTATCTATGAATAGTTTTCCATAGGAGTAAATAAAGATCTACATTATTTTAAATGACTCTACATTATTTTAATTCATATGGTGATAAGCCTTTAGATCCTCCCTTTTTTTTTAACTAAAATGGACAATAATTATATGACTAGCCTGGAAAATACATTTTTTATGCATTTAATGGTTATTTCTTTCTTAACAGTAATAAATGCTTGGCAGGCGCTTCTCCTCTGGACATTCTAAGCATGAGTTATATGGCCAATATTTACATCACTAGTGCTTTTTTTTTTTTTTTAAAGATTTATTTATTTATGCATACAAGAACTGGCGTACAGGCCAGAGGGGCAGGGGGTGCGAGGTTTCACCAGAGAGAGAGTGGGGGTGGGGAACAGAACAGGCAGACTGACTGAACTACACTGCTGAGGGGAGCAGCGGGCGAGACAGGAGAGGTCTGCTGCACCATGTGGGTTTTTCTCTGGCTGGTTGAGGATCGAACTTGTGCTGCAGAGGTTGTGGACAGCTTCACAGTATGGTGCTTAACCCCTTGAGCCACCAGGGAGGCCCACCAGTGCTTTCTAAATACCACATCAAAAAATACTACCACATGGGGCCTCCCCAGTGGCGCAGCGGTTGAGCGCAGGGTTGCAAAGCTGCCCGCAGCATCTGCAGCGCTGGTTCGATCCCCAGCTGCTCCCCGGCCACCGGAGGAGGGTCCCACATGGCACGCAGATCTCTCCTGCTGCCCGCTCCTCCCTTCAGCAGTGTACTTCGGTCCTTCTGCCTGCTCTGCTCCCTGCTCTGGCTCTGGTGAATTCTCTCACCCTCCTGCGCTTCTGACTGTACCCAGTGCTTGTATAAATACATAAATAATAAACAAATCTTAAAAAAAAAAAGTCTTCTAAAAAAAAATGCTACCTATGTCCATGTTAAGAAAGCATTTGGTAAATTCAACATCCATTTATGATAAAAATACTCAAAAAATTGGGGGTAGAAGGAACATACCTAAACACAATAAAAGCCATGTATAACAAATCTACAGCTAATATCACACTCAGTGTTGAAAAACTGAAAACTTCTTCTGAAGTCAGATGCAAGACAAAATGTCCACTTTCACCTCTGCTATTAGTATTGGAAGTCCTAGCTAGAGCAATCAGGTGGCAGAAAAATATAAAAGGAATCCAATTTGGGAAAGAAGTGAAACTAAATTGCAGAAGACATAATAATATAAATATAAAACCCTAATGATTCCATTGAAAAACTATTAGAAACAATAAATCAGTATAATAAAGTGGCAGGTTACAAAATCAGTCTATAAAACCACTTGTGTATCTATATGCAAACAGTGAACTAGAAGAGAAAGAAATCAAGAAAACAATCCCTTTTTATATCACTTCAAAAAGTATTAAATACCTGTGAGTAAATTTAACACAGGAGGTGAAGGATCTATAAAATGAATACTGTAAGACATTGTTAAAAGAAATAGAAAATACTAAGAAGTGGGAAGATACTCTCTGTTTATGGTTTGCAAGACCCAACATTGCTAAGATGCCATCTTGCCCAAAGCACTATATAAATTCAGAGCAACCCTCTCAAAGCATCAATAACATTATTCAAATAAATAGATCAAACATTACTGAAATTTATATGGAACCACAACGAGCTATGAGTAGCCAAAAAAATCCTGACAAAAAAGAAGAATGCAGGTATCACATTCCAGAGTTTGAATTATACTACAAATCTCTAGTAATCAAAACAGTATGGTACTGTAATAAAAATAGACACACAGACCAATAGAATAAAATGAGATCCTAGCAATAAACTCATATGGATTGTTATTCTACAACAAATTAGCTAATAGTATACATTAGAGAAAGGAAAGGAAAGTCTCTTCAGTAAGCAGGGCTGGGAAAACTGTATAGCCATTTGCAAAGTAAAGAAACTGGACCACTATCTCACACCATAAACAAAAATTAACTCAAAATGGATTAAAGACTTAGATATAAGACCTGAAACTAAAATACATTAAAGAAAACAGGCAAAACAATCCATGATGTTTGCCTCAGTGATATATTTGTGACTTCTGCTGTACTGGAAACAAAAGTGAAAATAAGCAAATGAGACTACATCAAACTAAAAAACTTCTGCACATGGAAAAAAACTACCATTAAAATGAAAAGCACTCTAGTTAATGGCAGAAAATATTAATTGGGCTAATGTCCAAGATCCAAAAAGACACAGTTTAACAAAATGAAAACAAATAGCCTAATCCAAAAAAATGGACAAAGGAGCTAAATAGACACTTCCCTAAATAAGACATACAGATGGCCAACAGGCACATGAAAAAATGCTCATCATCACTTATTAGAGGAATGCAAATAAAACCACAGTGAGATACCATCTCGCATCTGTGAAAACAGCCCCTATCAAAAAGTTCAGAAACAACAAGTGTTGAAAAAGGAACCCTCTTGTACACCCACCAGCAGTACAGGAGAGATCCTTTTTCTCCACATCCTCGCCAACATTTGTTGTTGCTAGTTTTTTTAATATGTGCCGTTCTCACTGGTGTGAGATGGTATCTCATGGTAGTTTTGATTTGCATTTCCCTGATTGCAAGTGATGTTGAACATTTTTTCATATGCCTGTTGGCCATTTGTATTTCCTCTTTGGGGAAGTTTCTTTTTAGCTCTTCTGCCCATATTTTGACTGGATTATTTTCTTTGTTTTTGTTGAGTCTCGTCAGCTCTGTAGATTTTTGTGATCAGTCCTTTATCATTAGTGTTGTGCGCAAAAATTTTCTCCCAGTTGGTGGGGTTTCTCTTTGTTTTGGTTATTGTCTCTTTTGCTGTGCAGAAGAGTGCAAACTGGTCCAACCACTATGGAAAGCTGTGTGGAGATTCCTCAGTCTACTAAAGATAGAGCTTCCATATGATCCAGCAATTCCACTCCTAGGTATTTACCCAAAGGACACAGAAACATTAATTACAAAGGGCACCTGAACCCCTATGTTTATAGCAGCACTATTTACAATAGCTAAGCTTTGGAAACAACCCAAATGCCCCAAAATAGATGACTGGATCAAGAAGATGTGGTGCATATACACAATGGAATATTATTCAGCAATCAAAAAAGATAAACACATGCAATATGCAGCAACATGGATGGAGCTGTAAGGGATCATGCTCAGCGAAATAAGCCAGAAAGAAAAAGAAAAATACCAGATGGTCTCACTCGTAGCAGGAATCTAGAAAACCTAAATAAGGGACCAGGAAAAAGAGTAACTATACGAAAGGAAAAATCAAAATCAACAAACAACTATGAACCAGAGACACACTATGGGGGGTGGGGGAAGGAGGGATTGGGGTCAAAATAAGGGGGTTGCAATTGTATGGGGAATATAAAAATAAAATTAAAAAGAAAAAGGAACCCTCTTGTGCTGTTATTGGGAATGTAGACTGGTCCAGATTTCTCAAAATGTTAAAAATAGATCTACCATGTATATTACCCAGCAATTCTACTTCTGATATCTCTTTGAAGAATGCAAAAACATTAATTTGAAGGGAAATAACACACACTCCTATGCTTATTGCAACATTATTTACAACAACCAACTTATGGACACAACCTAAGTGCCCAGGTAGAGATGAATAGATTAAGGTGATGTGTTCCATACACAATGGAATACTACTCAACAATCAAATTGATGAACTCTTACCATTTCCAACAGAGTGGGTGGAACTGGAGGGCGTGATGCTAAGCAAAATAAATCAAAAAGGAAAAGACAGTTACTGGATGGTTTCACTTACATGTGGAATATAGAAAAACAGAACTGACGAAAACAAGCACTAGAAATCTATCACACTGAGGCTACCAGTGGGAAATGGAGAGTAAAGATGGGAGTGGAGTGTAAAAGTGGGACTGGGCACACTGTACTATGGTAGAGGACTATTAGCGCTTTGTTTGTGGGTGTGGTGACATAACATACATCTGAAGAGGTGGGATCCATCTGTGTAAACTAATGTTACCTTAAAAAAAAGATTAAAAAGAAAAAAATGCTGTCAAATGGAGAGTAACTTTGAAAGACTTTTTTCCCCACCATATAACCTTTCAGAAGTTCAGTCTTTCAGAACTTTTGATTGCCTACCATTTCATTTTCTTTTTGGAATTGATGATGTGAGGGAAGTGAAAATAAAGTAATAGTGGAGTTTATGTTAGAGAATAAGAAAACATGTTAATGAGAATGAGCCTGAGGATCCTCCCTTTGTCATGTCCACGGCTACAGTTGTATCAGTCTTTACTTTCTATTAAATAAAGCAGTAATCTACCTGCTATGCTACATCTCCACAGCATCTTTTTTCTATGTCCTTTCAGCTAACAAAAACCAGCTGTTTAACATGGCATTTGTATCTTGTCACTCCCTTTTTTAGGACAATTTATTAGCAGTTAAAATTGTTGATCCTTATTTAAAGCCGCTAACATAGACCTGCTGTAACGTAGTACCACAAACTAAGTGGCTTAAAACAATAGAATGTTTTCTTTCATAATTCTAAACGCTGGAAGTACAAACCAAGGTGTCAAGAGCAGTGCTCTCTCTGAGACAGAATAGAATCCTTCCTGACCTTTTCCTAGCTACTGGTAGTGACCATCAATCTTTGGCATTTCTTTGCTTGTGCCTACATCATTCTGGTTTTTGTCTGTATTACATGGCATTCTCTCTGTGTATCTTTGTCTTCACCTCTTAGAAGCATACCAGTTATATTAGATTAAAACCCACCCTAACATAGTATGACCTCATCTTAACTTGATTACATATACAAAGCCCCTTTTTCCAAATAAGATCATATTGACAGACACTGAGGGTTAGAGTTATAGTGTGTTCATTGGGGATAATATAATTTAATCCATAACAGTCTTTCAATATTTTTCTCTCTCCTTTCAACTGCTGTGTCTCAGATTATTCTTACTGTTTGGAAGTGCCTTGTCCAGTGCTGTTTTACTTTATTTTGTTGCTTTAAGGCCTAAGTTGTATATTTTTTAGAATTAACAAAGTAGTTACTTAAATTAGCTTCTGTTTACTATATAAACTTTTAAATTTGTAAGCAATTAAACCTTAATCTCTTTGGATTTGTGCATTTGTTATCCTGTTTTAAAAGCACACTTGTTATCCTATTTTCTACTCCTGTAAACTTCTTTAGTAAAACAATCATTAAAATGGTAGTATAATAGAGTGTAACTCATTTTCACTTACAAATCATTCATCTATAAATCTACCATTAGTTCAAATACTGGCAAAATTATTACAAAAAGCAACTGATGACTGTGAGTTAGCACAATGAATATTTGGCATAGTACTTAGAAGTATTAAAATAGTCTTGATTTCTTAGTTTATGAAAATCATTAGTGTCACAGGATTTCTAAATTGAATTGAATTTATTTTTTGTTTTATAGCTTAGGAATCTTGCTTTTAAGAAAATACCCCAGAAGTCCTCCCATGCAATTTGCAACACGCAACACGAACTTTCATTGTCAAATCCAGTACAGAAGGATTCACGAGAAGAAAATTGGCAAGAGTGGAGGCAAAGAGATGAGCAGGTACAACTAAGTAAATGAAATTGTGTTTCTATGACTCTCAGTATTTTTAAGATGACAGTGCATTTGAATTCATTGACTCACTCAGAACCACAATTCTGAGGAGTTTTATATTGAATTAATTAACTTATTCTCTTTTTAGTATCTGCTAAAAGAGCCCATTGATACGTCTGTTATTTTTGTTAGTTTTGGCAATTCTAAGTTATTTGTGAGTTTTCACTTCATTTGCTTTTTTTTTTTTTTCAACAAATGAGGGGGAGAGAGGGAAGATAGAACAACAACAGATTTAAATTTCAAGTGAAAAAATTACATTGTAGGATTAAAAGTCTCTTAATATTTATTTTTTGGATTAAAAGTCTCATTAAAAGTACACAGTGATAGTTTTGCTTAAAATTAGTTTATGATGGTTTTTGCTTCTTTAACCTATTGATATTTGGTCACCTGTGCCTTTATTTTAAAAGTATTAAAAACCAAATCAAACATAATTTATTAAAACCAGTCATTTTTTTATGTGTGGGATCCAGGAAAATAACATATTAAGCATGGAATGTATACTATAGAGATGCTGTAGGTATAGGGAATGAATAGTTTTGCTTATCTGTGAAATTGTTGTTTGATTTATTGGGAATAGTACATTCTTGATGATCTTGGGATTATAGAGCGACTGTACTTGTTATGCTTGGGTTACTGGTTTTAAAAGAATTAACTACACTGTACTGTGCTCTTAAATGATTTGATTATTACATTTTCTTTAGCATTTGTAGTGCCTCAAGCTCATTATGAGCTTGTAAAAAATGCTGTATATCGGGGCCTCCCCGGTGGCGCAGCGGTTGAGCGCTGGGTTGCGAAGCTGCCCGCAGTGTCTGCGGCGCCGGCTCGATCCCCTGGCTGCTCCCCGGCCACCAGAGGAGGGTCCCACATGGCGCGCAGACCTCTCCTGCCGCCCGCTGCTCCCCTCAGCAGTGTACTTCGGTCCTTCTGCCTGCTCTGCTCCCCGCTCTGGCTCTGGTGAATTCTCTCACCCTCCCATGCTTCTGACTGTACCCAGTGCATGTATAAACAAAACAAACAAACAAATAAACAAACAAACAAATAAATAAAGCATGCCTCTATTAAAAAAAAATTAAAAAAAAAATGCTGTATAAAAATATTTTCAAGCATTGGCATACTGGATAAGTCACCTTGTATTAGTCTAGGGGATTTTATATGAATTTTTTTTCTTCTATAACATTCTTTATGACAGTTTTCTGGTTTGCAAGTATAAATATTGTAATGGTCTACTTGTTTGGACAGCAATAGAATTTACCAGAGAGAATTTTTCCAGTGTCCCCAGTGGAAAATTAATGGAGAAAAACTTCTCAGATTTGTGCCCAAATAAATTCTGTGCAGTATGGGAACTTGAGCACAGATAATTTGATTGACTTTACTCCTGCCCCACTGATGGCTGCTAAAATAATCAGGTAATAATGAAAAGTAGTAGCCCCTGGCCCTATTATAATAACTTAATCAACCAAGACTCAGGAACTTTGAGGAATTTCTACTGGATATAGTACTGATGGTTCACTTAGGAAAACTTGGTACCTTACTTAGAAGTCTCACTTGTAGGAAAATAAGAAAATCATGAGAAGTAGAGTGCATCCTGGGATAATTACATTGGTGAGTGAAGAAGAAATAAGGACTAGCCTTGGACAGATGGACATTGTACCACTTGGGATCTATTGATATCTTGCTATGTGGAACAATAGATTGTAAAATAGCAACCAGGCATTGATTATACCAGTCAGAAAGCATTACGGTATGGTGGGTATTCTTACAGACACAGTTGGGAAACGTATGAGAAATTCTAGATATTAAGAACTCAGACAAATAAATTCTGGATATGGAAATCTTGCCAAGTGACTGCTTATTTCAAACAAAAAAGAAAATATGCTAAGACAAAGTTCCTATTCCTAAAACACCAAACTGATAATGTAAATTTATTTATAGCCACTAAACTTCAGCATAATATCCAAGAGTAAATAAATAGTAAAGCATTCACTCCACCAATTTATTCTTACATATTGATCTCATGTCAACTGAATAGTTCCTGACATACAAGGAAAAAAACATTGTACTTAGTGTCCAAAGTGAGAGCATACTTTGAAAACATTTCTCTACTTGGAATAGAAGTTAGTTTTAGAGATCACCTCTTTTTTTCTTTAATAAAAACTGAGCGATTGATCCTTTGTAAAAGTCAAGGGGATAGTGACAGTAATGTTAGATGCTGTATAATAATATTGTATATTATATATTATATAGTAAGTGAGATAGTAGACTGAGATGAAAAAGTAGCTAACTGAAATGAAAAAGAAACAGAAATTGAAAGGGAGCAGTGTGAAATAAATTTGGGAAGTAAATTCATAGCAAAATTGAAAGCAGTAGAAGAACTAAAGAACTCTCTGCACTGAAGAATACTGAGCAAATTTTGTGTAGGAAATTTTTATTTAGGTAAATTTTACAAATGCATTTCACATGTTAGATTAAAATATAGACATAATTAGCGTCCCTCTAAGAAGCAGAACAGAGGAAGTCAGTAGAGATAATGACAAAAATTTTCTTAAGCTAAAATAGAGCTTGAAAAAACTGAATCCTTTAGTTGAAACCTTTTAAAAAATCTTCAATTTTTTTTTTTTTAATTTTAAGAATGAGAAGCAAGGAAATAATACCACAGATAGTCATGGGAGAAAACAGGTTGCCTACTAAAGTTGAAAAATCAGAATGACTACTGCCAGGATTGAAATGTTAGGCCCAAGAATTCTATATCTAGCAAAAATGTCAGTTGAGAGAATGCTAAAGAAATGCATTCTCAGTATGCAAGGGAAAGAATACCACTATTACCTTTCTATATATTTTTCTGAGATGTGCGCCTGCAATTAAAAGGCAGATCTAGATAAGAGTACAGCAATTGGGCCTCCCCCGTGGCGCAGCGGTTGAGCAATGGGTTGCGAAGCTGCCCGCAGCCTCTGCAGCGCCAGTTCGATCCCCGGCTGCTCCCCGGCCATCTGAGGAGGGTCCCACATGGCGCGCAGACCTCTCCTGCCGCCCGCTGCTCCCCTCAGCAGTGTACTTCGGTCCTTCTGCCTGCTCTGCTCCCTGCTCTGACTCTGGTGAATTCTCTCACCCTCCTGCGCTTCTGACTATACCCAGTGCTTGTATAAATAAATAAATAATAAATAAATAAATCTTTAAAAAAAAAAAAGAAAAAGAAATACAAGGAGGCAAAAATGATTTAAATTCCAACTTAAATCTATTGGCAAGGACTTACTGTGCCAGCCATGAAGTTAATGACAACAATCAGACTCACAAACAAAATGTTGAAACCCTTGTCCCCATCCTGTTCTTGGATGTTTGTTTTGGTATTGTAGTGGGTGGTAGACAGGAATGTGTGATGGCCTACCCTGCTAGGATCATAGGATATTGGAATGAAGTGCAATTATTCAAAGAAATACAGAAAGGGATTCTGAGCAGGAAAAAAAAAAGCCAGGAAATGAATTTACAATGTGAATGATGATAAACTTACGCTTTCCTCATCACAATATGTTTATTTATTTTTTTTAAAGATTTATTTTTATATTTTTATTTATTTATGCAAGCACTGGGTACAGTCAGAAGCGCGGGAGGGCGAGAGAATTCTCCAGAGCCAGAGCAGGGAGCAGAGCAGGCAGAAGGACCGAGGTACACTGCTGAGGGGAGCAGCGGGCCGCAGGAGAGGTCTGCGCGCCATGTGGGACCCTCCCTGGTGGCCGGGGAGCAGCCGGGGATCAAACGGGTGCTGCAGAGGCTGCGGGCAGCTTCGCAACCCAGCGCTCAACTGCTGTGCCACTGGGGAGGCCCTCATCACAATATGTTTAGATTGATACATGTACACAGATAAGATGTTTACTCTTAAAATATTATCACTAACCTGTTCAGCTGAAGACATCTCTTACCAAATGATGAACAACCAAAAGTTCCATCCATCTATTGTAGAAGTTATGTTTGGCAATCACAGTTCTTGGAGAGTAATTTGGTTGAAGGGTGGTAGAAGCTAGATTTTAAGAAGTTAAGGTGAAATTAAGTGGTGAGAAAGAGGAACCAAGAGGTACATTTCACAAAGAATCATTTTACAATATTATTAGATGACTTTAAATGTAGGGTAGCCATATGAAAAGAATGAAAGGATAGGAGTAGAAGAATGCACTGTAACTATTGTGTAACATCAGGTCTATACCAGACATTTTGTCACCTTATTTAAAGGATCTGTACCAGTGAGTTAGTCTATAATATGGGAACGACATGTTTTGTAATGCTTCAGTATTACTGTATTTTTGAGTAATAATCTCTTACAGTTTTCTGTGTCCTAAACAGGGTATTGACATATTACACTGTCAATTTCTTTTTAAGATTGTTTTATAAAGGCAAAAAGATCATGTGATATAAGATGACTTACAGTAAACAGAGATATAATAATCTCAAAATTATATGTTTTTGCTTTGGTATATTTAATAAAATAGAGTTCCCTGCTTTGGCATAGATAAATAACTTTGGGGAACCCAGGTTGTTTCTAATGTATTTGTTTTCTTTTTCTGTTGTGGCTATTTTGTTGATATGGTATAATCTGTTTCTTGTGAAACTTTCTTTTCAGCTTACATCCGAAATGTTCGAAGCAGATCTTGAGAAGGCATTGTTGCTAAGTAAATTAGAATATGAAGAACACAAGAAGGTATTTGCTCATTTATTGATTTAGATATTTTAGATGTTTAGTTGGTCATAGGTTAGGATTGACCTTCCTGAATCTCCTTTAAAGTTTGTCTTCAAACATCAGTGTAAAAAAGTAATAACAGTACAAAACACAACAAAGCAAACCCGGACAATTATAAATCAGAGACATACTGCAGGGGAGGAGGAGGGAGAGGGATCAGAGAGAGGGAGGGAGGAGTACAGGGGACTGTGGTGATGGTGCACAGGTGCATTGGTAAAGAAAACTATATGGGGACTACACCTGAGGGGGTAGGAGGAAGCAAATATTGTTTAAAAATGAACAATGATGTAAAAAATTTAAAAAATAATATTTAAAAAATTAATAATTTAACATGTTAACTTATTTTAACATGTATTTAACATGTTAAAAAATAAAAATAAGGGCCTCCCCGGTGGCGCAGTGGTTGAGCGCAGGGTTGAGAAGCTGCCCACAGCCTCTGCAGCGCCGGTTTGATCCCCGGCTGCTCCCCGGCCACCAGAGGAGGGTCCCACATGGCGCGCAGACCTCTCCTGCCGCCCGCTGCTCCCCTCAGCAGTGTACTTCGGTCCTTCTGCCTGTTCTGTTCCCCGCTCTGGCTCTGGTGAATTCTCTCACCCTCCCATGCTTCTGACTGTACCCAGTGCATGTATAAACAAAAAGCAAACAAACAAATAAATAAATAAATAACATGCCTCTATTAAAAAAAAAAAAAAAAAGGTTTAAAAAAAAATAAAAATAAAACTTGCTGGAAAAAAATGAAAAAAAAATAAAGTTTATCTTCAAAATTCCTCACTGAAACAAAATACTAGCAGAAAGTTTTTATAATAAGATTTCTCATCAAGTTTTGAGAGATGTGTGCTAAATTTTGTGATTTGGAATGTTTAGTTTAGGAATTCCTTTACTTACCCAAGATGAAGAGAGGAAATGCAATTAACAACAAATGATTTCTTTTACATGAACATAGAAAATAAGTAGATTTCTGCATACAGGGGCACCAATTAAGAACCTCTGCTGGAGTGTCTATAATTAAAGTAAACAGGGGGCCATTTTTGATATTTTTGCCTTGTGAACTCAGCATTTGTTACTAAGCTGTGATATTGGCTGTGTACTGCTACGTATTCTATAGCTTAGAACCAAAGGAACATTCATGTAAAAAGCAGTGTTAGCTCCTAGTTTCTGTATTTAAAATAAGCATTTATTAAGTTCATATTATGTAACATTTTAGTCCTTTACATGTATTGGGATTTTTTTTTAGTCTATAAATGTTGTTCGACTTGTCATTATTCAGTGGTTAGTCATAAGTGGCCTCTGGTCATCCTCAACTGTCTTTAAATTGTGCCATTGTGTAGTAGCGCTTTCATTCAAAGTGAAGGAGAGAAGAAAGCAAAATCAATTAGAAGTAGAAAGACAAATACCCTTTATGGTTTCATTCATGTGGAATGTAGAGGAACGAAGGGATAGACAAAACCAAATAAAAACAAACCCTATAGTCAGAAGTCTGACTATAGAATTGAGGCTACTAGATGGGGTGTATGGGAGCAGAATGCAATGGGAACCAACGGACTGTGGTGGAGGATTATGGGTGTCATGGTGGTGGTGTGTGGTAACACATATGAAGAGGTGTGAATCTACGTCTCTGAATTATAGTATTATAAACCAGTGTTACCCCAATAAAAATAATACAAAAAGTATGCTAAGTAAAATTAAAAAATTTTTTTTACAGCAAACTACTTTGCTATTTATTTACTTGTTTTTGTTTTTAAACATCCTTGTTTGTTTTTTCGGAATATAGAATTTCTTCCTTAAAGTGTGGTCACCACAGTTTTCCCAACCACCAACGTGTCACAGTCCTCTGTTACCTCCCACTGATTTTTTCCTCCCTCCTCCTTTTACACCTGTTCTTTGCTCTCCCCCTCTCCCTCCTCCTTCACCTCTCCTCCTGAGTGTCTCAGATCTACAGTCTACTTTCAAGGGCCAGCCTTACAGTTTGTCTGATCCTTTGTTTCTTTTCTCTAGATTCTACATATAAGTGAAACCATGTTGTTTATCTTTCTTCTTCTGGCTCACTTTGCTTAGAATAATCCCTTCTAGTATAACCCATGTTTCTGTCAATGGCATGCGTTTATCTTTTTTGATCACTAGTAGTATTTCACTGTGTGTGTATATATATACCACATCTTGATCCACTCATCTGTTTAGATTGTTTGGCTGCTGTAAATAGTGCTGCTATAGTCATAGGAGTGCAGATTTCCTTTCAAATTAGTAATTTTGTGCTCCTTGGATAGATACCTAGGAGTGGAATTGCTGGGTCATATGGCAAAGCCATTTTTAGTCTTTTAAGAAATCTCCCCATTTCTTTCGATTGGGGCTGGACCAGTCTACATTCCTACCAACAGTGGAATAGTGTTCCCTTTTCTCCACACTCTCCAGCACTTGTTGTTTGTGGTTTTTGGATATAGGCCATTCTCACAGGTGTGAGGTGTGTGGCTTTGATCTACATTTCCCTGATGATAAGTGTTGATGAACATTTTTTGTTATGTCTGTTGTTGAGGGTCTGTGACATAGAGCTGGTCTGGGGCACTATTCTTCTCAGAGGTGCTGATGGTGAGTGGGATGCACATCTCCTACCTTGCTATTTGTTGATAGTTTTGTTTTTTTTTTAAGATTTATTTATGCATACAAGAGCCAGGATGCAGGCCAGAGATGTGGGGGGTAAGAGGATTCACCAGAGACAGAATGGGGAGCAGACCAGGCAGGTCTACTAAAATACACTGCTGAGAGGAGCAGCTGGCAAGACAGGAGAGGTCTGCTACACCATGTGGGTCACCTCCCTGGCCGGGCATTGAACTCATGATGCATTGGCTGCAGATAGCTTCATAGTGCTGCGTCTTAACTCCTTGCACCACCAGGGAGGCCCCTGTTAATAGTTATTTAGTAGATTAAAGGATGAAAAGGATGAAAGTTGTCAGCAAGTTGAATTTACCAATTCTGAAGATAAAAAGAGAGAAGGAAGTAGATGGTTTTGATAAAATATACTTTAGTCAGTGTTCTTGGAATAGTAGTCTTTTTTTTTTTTTATTCCCCGCCCACCTCCCTCCCTCCATAGGAACAGTAGTCTTAATACCCAAAAGCATTGGTTTTATCAGGCTTTTATAGGTTTTATAATGACTCTTAGAAAATGGAGGAACTCCTTTCATACACAGTGATTGGCTTGATGTCATCATATTGATGTAGTCATTGTGTCTTAAGTCAAAATTATATTAAGTTATTTTAGCAGAAGGATTTTTATAGTATCTAGAGTTCAGGTTGGCATTTTCTGTTCTATTACTCATGCACCAAATATTTTTTTGAAAATTCAAAATGTGCTAAGCTCCCATCCCTTGAGTTTAGTGGAGGGAGTCATGCACATAGAGTATAATATTGAGAGATGTATGTTCTCAGTGCATAGGAATTTAGAAAGATAGAATGATTTTCTGTGCTTTTGATACGAATGTGGGTTTAGGAGAGGATTCTTAAATAGGAGTTTTCCTAGATGTAGAAATTCACAGAGTAGGCAGGAGGCAAGGTGGCATTCTCAGGGAAGGAGTGGCAAGTATATAAGGTATATATATACATGTGAGAAAGTGTAGTATGTTTGAAAACGTAATTTAGGGACCTAAATTTGCTGGAGATATTACCAGAAGAATAGACTATGAAGATCCTCATGTATCAGATTGGGTATATGAGGCTAAGGAGATTGGGTTTTATACATTTTGGCAGATAGCTATTGAATATTTTAACTTTTAGATTGATTTCAAGTTTTCATTTTAGAAACTCATGCTGTAGCAGTATAGAAGATGTATTGAGAGGCTAATATTAGAGGATGTTATAATGTCAAAAGAATAGAGTATGAAGAGGAGAAAATAGATTTTAGAGATCTTTAGGGGTTGAACATAACAAGATGTAGTGAGTAATTTGGATATAATGTGTATAGGAAAGTGGGCAAGGATGACTCTTGAGTTTTCTAGCCTAGATGGCTGTGTAGATGATGGTAGTAATATTTAACAGGGTACTTATCCCTACTCAAGTAGGGATGGCAAGAGTGAACACAATTTGTTTGAAGATGTTTATTGAACATTCCAGTTCTGCATGTACAGAAATCCTCAGTGTATATATAAGACTTTAACCTTTGAGTCTGAAGAACTATGGGTATAAAGTATAAGAATAGGTTATGAATGGAATGATGGTTAATAGTAGTTATATATTTAAGAAGAGAGTTGGGAAAAAGAAACCAGTGAAGGCGATTTAAGAGTAGTCAGGAATATATTGAGATATCCAAAAAATACTTGAAAAATTAATGTCTTTGGATTTGGCATTTAAAAGGAGTTTAACTTTAATTTTAGGTAAGAGAACAATGTAAGCCAGATTTCAGGGGAATAAGAAAAAAACTGAATGTAGATCTTTATATTAGATTTGGTCTTGAAATGAAGAAGGTGGCAAAAAGGATTTATAACCAAGATACAGCTTTTTATTTTTATTTTAATATTTAAGAGGCAATAGATTGAGTGTGTAAATAAGAAGGTATCCTTTTATACAATTTGACTGGCCTAAGTTTAGAATTTTATTTGCCTTTTATCTTTTAAAAAATAAAACTTTAAGACATTGGTGAGTTGATTTTACTAATGCATACCAACTTTAATTAATTTTGTAAATTTTTTTTAGGAGTATGAACATATTGAAAATGCTTCAACTCAGTCAAAGGTTATGAATAAAAAAGATAAAAGAAAGAACCATCAGGGAAAAGACAGACCTCTTACGGTATCTCTAAAAGATTTTCAATCGGAAGGTAATAATGTACAAAATTTATTATGCTAGAAAAACTAGTCCAGTTCTTTGCATATTTAAGTTATAAGTACCTTTCTAATTTTTTTAAGAGTATAATTGTTTTGTTAATGTATTACTTTGGAATCTAAAAAATGTAGACTTATTTGGAATAAGCAAGCCTATAGAGGTTAAAATAACTTTAAGGCAATTAAACTTCAGTCAGAATTTATCTTTTTGTACTTCTGGATTTGTTTCTTTTCTAAAAATAAAAAATGACTTTTGTAGCTTTTGAGTCAACTTGAACCATATTGTCCTTATACATGAAGTTATTTGGCTTACACTAGACCAGGAATATTATCTTCATACTTGGTCAGCCTTTTCAAGTTTATAACTACATCTTAGAAAATTAAAATACAAATTTTTAGAATGGGACTTACCAGAAAATTCTTTATAATATCATTTGTATATTTTTATTGAACAGAAAAAGCAGAAGGAAATTATATCATTCACCAAACTTTTTAGATATATCACTATTAAGTAACAGAAATCTAACTAAGTTGATTTTAATGTCTGATTGGCTTTATTAAGTAATTCATGAATTGGATAATAACATACTATCTAGCAAGTAGAAATATCCTCTGAAAAGCTATTCAAAAGGAAAGGTTTCTATAGGTAGAAAAGGGCAAGGTGAGGAGAGCTTTTTTTTTTTTTTCTTCAGGCTTCCGTAGCCTGCCTTTGAAGAATGGATAAGTGTCATGTCACAGATTACCTCATATTTGTTGGGGAATGGAAAAGATTACTTCATTGGTGGTGATCAAAAAATTCCCTCATCAGTTAGTTAGGACTGCATCCTGGGGAAGGCTGCCCTCAGCTGGGGGGTTAAGCAGCTCTTAGATTTGGTATTAAGTCTTGGTGAAATTAGCACAAGTGCCTCCATTTGGGGCCTCTCATCTTCTTTTTCTAACTCCACAAGGCACATTATTTTTGAATAATGTGGGAAATGGTGAAAACCCTAAATCCATGCTGTATAATAGGCTAGCCATTATTCGTGTGTGACATCTTAATTATAGATAAAGTGAACTAAAAAGAGGGACAGAGCCAAGACATAGCAAAATGGCTGTGCTGGCAAGCTTCTTCATCAGTTATAACTTAAAAAACAACCATCACATACACATAGTTCACCAGCTAATTGCCAGCATCCGTGGATGAATTCATGCGTCTTTCTCCCTGAGGTGTGTGCTTTGTTACTCACTAAGGCTTGGAACAAGAAGAGGTAAGGGGAACTTTGCACGTTTCCATTTTTGGTGGGTGGACAAACTTGGGGAGGCATAGGCTCTGGTTTGCCCAGACTGACACAAGGAAACTACAGTTGAGTGTGCTTTCTCACTGAGCTCTGGGACAGACAACGCCTTGATCTGTCACAAAGAGCATTGGTTTGCTTATAATGTGATCAGTGCCAGAGCATTCTGCTGTGAACTGCAGAGTCCTCTGATAGTGAGATAGGGACATGGGAGAAGGCTCAGGGCATGGAATTGAGCGTGGTCTGATGGTGGAGAGAGAAAAAGCAGCATAGGCCTCTTAGCCCTAGTGGACCTAGCCCAGTGAGACTGTGAACATTTATTCCAGGCATCTGGGCTCCTACTTCCCCACATGCCTCCCTCCTATCACTTGATAAAAAATGAGGATCCTAAAAGTAAAGCCACAACATCACCTATTGGGGGTAAAAATGAAAAGGGCAACACCCATATGAAAAAAGAAGCAACCCAGAGAACGCGACATGGAACAAGATAATGGCGCTGAATCCAAGCTTTATGACTCGAAATTCCAGGGCAGCAGAGAGTTCAAAGAACAGTCATTAATAAGCTCAACAAAGTTTGAGACTCAAACACAGAGAAGCAGAGTCAGGGCATTGCAGAAGGTCCTCAGAAACAAGAAGCTTCATCAGAAAAGATCGAAACTATTAAAGAAATACCCAAGCAGAAATAATGGTTATGATTACTATAATGAAAGAATTTAAAACAGCCATGGAAGGCCTAGTAGGTAGACTTAATCATGATGCAAGTAGAATTTCAGAAATGGAAGATAAAACATTCAAAGAGCTGAAGTGGAAGAGGACAGAGAATGGTTTAGGAAATACGAAGAAACTATAAAATATCAGGCATACTTGGGAGAGGAAACATGATGGTATCCTGAGGGTGAAGAAAGCAGAGTGCTGCTTTCTTCACAAAGAAAGTGGGTGCTGTAGTGACTGCCCCTGAGAGGGACATCCTATACTTTCAAAACACTAGCAAGGGTATAGAGCAATGGTACTTCAGTAAAAAAGCAAACAAAACAAAGAAATAATAGCCGCAGACTTTCCAGACTGACGGAAAGAACGAATCATAGAAGACCAGGAAGCAGAACATCTAAATTTCTAAATGCGAAATGACCCACACCAAAGCACATCATTATTATATTATCAAAAGTCACCATAAACACAAAATATTAAAGGCTACTAGAGGGAAAAAGCATGTGACTTACAAAGATGCTTTGATCAGGCTCTCATCAGATTTTTCAGTTTCAACTAGTTAGAATTGAATGGAATCATATTCACAATTCTGAAAAGTAAAAATTGTCAGCCAAGAATACTGTCCCACAAAATTACTCAAATATGATGGAGAAATGAAGGCTTTCCCAGACAAAAAGAATAGCTAATGGAAAGTTACTACTACCAAACCTGCCCTATAAGAAATGCTGCAAGGTGTCCTTTTATATGAAAGGAAAAAACAAACGTGAGACCGTGAGTGAGGTGATAAATAGAATTACAGTGTCTGAAACAAGCAAGAACAATTTGGGACAACAACACATTAAAGGGGAAGAAGAAAAGAACAGAGTATGTATAGTTAAATAACTGCAAGGCAATACCAGCACAAAAAAAAGACTATTCTAGATAATAGGAAGTTTAAGATAACCCTCATGGTAACCATAAAACAAATACCTGGAGCAGAGACACTTAAAAGAGGAAATGAAGAAGTAGAGCCACCAGGGAAAGCCATCCAAATAAAAAGGCAGATAGAAACATATGGAAAAAGAAACAGAATGGTAAAACAACAACAACAAAAAAACCAAAAAGAATGGCTATAAATAAACCTCATACAATATATTAATATATTGATATCAATAACCACCTTATAGTGTGAATGGTCAACTCACTAATTAAGAGACACAGAATGACAGGTTGGATAGAAAACCTAATCCATCTGTATTGTGCAAACTAGAGTCTCATATTAGATCTAAAGGTACACACAGATGTAAAGTGAAAGGCTGCAGCAAGTTATTTCAAGCCAGCCATACAGAAAAAAAAGCAAGAATTGCTGTTCTCATATCATTCAGCTAGAAAAGGTAATTAGTGGCTAAGCCAGACACTACATAATGATCAAGGTGGCAATCTATCAAAATTTATAACTGTAAACAGTATTTATGTACAAAACACAAGCGCACCCAAATATTAATATATCAATATTAACTAGCTATTAAAACAGCACATTGACAGCAACACAATAGTAGGAGATCTCAGCATACCACTTACATCAGTAGAAAGCAAATAAGGAAATAATGGTCTTAAATGAAGTAAAGGATTGCATAGATTTAATATATATAAACAGATTTCCATCCCCCCAAAAATGAATATATATTCTTCTGAAGTGCACACAAAACATCATCAAGGATAGATCATATACTAGGACATTAAACAAGCCTCAAAAATATCTGAAAATCAAAATTTTATCAAGCATCTTCTTTGATCAGAATGGGATAAAGCTAGAAATCAACCCCAAGAAGAAACTTAAAAAAAAAACAAAAAACAAGCCACCAAACATCCAAACATGTGGAGACTAAACAAAATGATTTTGAATAAATATTGAGTCAAAGGAGAATTTTAAAAAAATGAAAATGAAAACATGAGCTACCAGACCCTATGAAATGCAGCGGAAGTGTTATAAGAACAAGCACATAGGGCCTCCCTGGTGGTGCAAGGAGTTAAGATGCAACCTATGAAGCTATTTGCAGCCACTGCTGCATGAGTTCAATCCCTGGCCATGGAGATACCCACATGGTGCAGCAGACCTCTCCTGACATGCCCGCTGCTCCCGTCATCAGTGTATTTCAGTTGGTCTGCCGGTTCTGTTCCCCACTCTGTCTCTGGTGAATCCACTCGCCTCCCACACCTCTGGCCTGTACCCCAGTTCTTGTATGCATAAATAAATCTTAAAAAAAAAGAACAAGCACATAACCCACATAACTAAACAAGAGTAATACCAACTAAATTAATTTTACATCTGAAGGAAGTAGAACAACAAATCTCACACACACACACACACACACACACACACACACACATATATGCAAAAAGAAATAATGAGGATCAGGATGGAAATCACAACAGTACTCTAGAAATAATACAAAGGAGAAGAGATTACTATGAACATCTATATGCAAACAAATTGAACAACCCAGAAGAAATGGGCAAATTTTTAGAATTATGCAACCTTCCAAGCCTGAACAAGGATGAAATAGTGTGAATAGACCAATCTCAAGCACAGATACCAAGAGTCCTCAAGTCTCTTAACAGCAAAAGCCCAGGACAAGATGGCTTCACTAGTGAATTCTAAACATTCAAAGAATATCTAAAACCTATCCTTCTCAAAGTATTCTAAAAAATGGAAGCAGGAAACTTTATGAGGCCAACATTACCTTGATCCCAAAACTGAATAAGGACAGCACAGTAAAAGAAAACTATAGATCAGCATTTATATGAATATAAATGTAAAAATCATTAATGAAGTCTTGGCAAATTGAATCCAGCTATGCCAGGTTCATTTACATATTGCAAATAAATCACAGCAACAAAAATAAGAATAAAATTTTCATGATCACTTCAGTAGATGGTGAGAAAACATTTGACAAATCCAAAACCCATTTAAGGTTTAAAAAAAAAAAAAACTTCCCAGTAAGATGGGAATAAAAGGAGCATGTCTCAACATAGTAACAGCCAGATACAACAAACTCATAGCTACCATCATACTCAGTGGTGAAAAATTAAAAACATTTCCTCTAAGATCAGAAACAAGATAAGAATGTCCACTTGACTAGCATTGTTAAAACATGGTATTTGAAGTCCTAGCTAGAGTAATTAGGCAAGGAAAAAAGAAAAGGAATCCAAATTGGAAAAGAAGATATACAGTTATCACTAGTTGGCAGAGGACATACCTAGAAAGACATCCCAAAACTACTAGAAATAATAAATGAATGAAATAAAATGGATACACAAAAAATCTTGGATTTTATAAACAATCAAAGGAAAGATATTTAAAACATGCTCCCATTTATAGTTGCACTGAAAAGGAAGAAGTACCTGGAAATAAACTTAAAAGAGGTAAAGGACCCAGACATTAAAAACTATAAGACATTGTCAAAAGAAATAAGACATAAAGAAATGGAAAGATATTCCTTGTACATAGGTTGGAACAATACATGCTATTATAATGGCCATATTACCTAAAGCAGTTTATAGATTCAATGCAATAGCTATCAAAATCCCAATGATATTTTTTTCAAGAAAATGCAATACAAATATAAAATTTGTTTGGATCCACAAAAGTCCTTGACTAGCTAAAGCAGTCCTGAAAGAAAAGAGAAATAGAGCTGTCACACTCCCTGACATCAAACTATAGCACACAGCAATCAAAACAATACAGTACTAAAACAAAAAAAATACAGAACAAAGGGATAGAATACAGAACCTAGGAATAAACCCACATAAATATGGACAGTTAACTTTTGACAAAAGAGCTATGGCCATACAATGGAGAAAGTTGTCTCCATGACAAATGGTGCTGGGAAATCTGGACATCCACCTGCAAAAGAATGAAATTCAATAATTACTTAACCTGATACACAAAAAGCAATTCAAAATAGATTAAAGTCTGAATATATGGCCCCAAACTACAAAATACATATAAAAAAACATTGGTGATATTCTCCTAGATATTAGCTACAGATATATTTGGGGACACAAACTGAAGGCAAGGGAAACGAAAGCAAAAATAAACAAATGGGACAACATTAACTGAAAACTTTTTTTTTAATTTATTTATTTATGCATACAAGAGCTGGGGCACAGGCCAGAGATGCAGGGCGTGAGAGCATTCACCAGAGACACAGTGGGGAACAGAACAGGCAGACTGACCGAAGAACACTGCTGAGGGAAGCAGCGGGTGAGTCAGGAGAGGTCTGCTGCGCCATGTGGGTTGCTCCCTGGCTGGCCAGGGATCGAACTCATGCTGCAGAGGCTGCAAATTGTATCATGGTGCGGTGCTTAACTACTTGCGCCACTAGGGAGGCCCCTGAAAACCTTTTGTACCATGAAAGACACTACTACAAAAACAAAAGGGCAACCTGTGGACTGAGATAGTATTTGTACATTATGTGTCCAACACGGGGTTAATTTTCAAAATATGTAAAGAACACAGACATTAACAAAAAGGCAAACCCAATCAAAAAATTAGGAAAAGATAAATTCTTCAGACACAATGACCTACAGACATATGAAAAAATGTTCAACATCACAAGAGAAATGCAAATTAAAAGCACAATGAGGTATCATCTCATCCCTGTAAGAGTGATCTCTCTCAAAAAGACTAGAAATTTCTATTGGCAAGGATGTGGAGAAAAAGGCACACTCATTCACTGTTGGTGAAGTCTATATGAAAGATGGTATTAAGATTCCTCAAAGAACTAAAAAAGGAAATCCCATATGATTCTGTAATGCCTTTTCTAGGTATTTACCCAAAGAATATGAGAACACTAATATGGAAAGATTTATTTACCCCTATGTTCATAGCAGCATTACTCATAATAGCCAAATCATGGAGTCAACCTAAATGACCATCAACTGATGACTGGATAACAAAATAGCGGTTTATATACTAAATGGAATACTATTCAGCTATTTGAAAAGATGAAATAGTATCTTTTGGGACAAAATAGATGGGTCTAGACATGATTATGCTAAGTGAAATAAGCTAGAATTTGAAAGACAATTATCAATTGTGGAATATAAATACTAAAGGGAAAAAAACCTTGGGAAAACACAACAAAAATAACTCTTAGCCAAAGGGGAGGAGGGAGAAGAATGGGGAGGTTAGGATACATAAGCTAGTGTATTGGCACTTGAAGCTTTGATAGATGAGTGAATCATGTGCACATGTTGGGGTATAAAATTGTGCTCCCCAAATTACATATTTATCTAAACTAAAGACAAATTCTTAAAACATGTTTTTAAAAAATGAACTAAAACCAAAAACTCTTACTTGCTTTAGCTACATCTCAAGTGCTTGGTGGCTGCATTTGCATAGTGGCTTCTATATTAGACAGCACACATGTAGAACATTGCTATCATAACAAAGTTTTATTGAGCAGCATGTGCTTATACCACTTAGAGTAGTTGCTGACCAAATTAACAGCTTTTTGTACATTAAGCAGCCTGTTTGATTCATATGAATTTAGACTTACTATGCTGGCCATTTGTTCTGTGAAGATTAAGAATACCATACTAATGTCCCTCCTCACAACCTAAATATTTTAGAGAAAAGCCTATCTGTAAAGTTAGAAATAAATTTAGAGGATTATATTGCCTGCCTTTTAAAAACCAGGAGAGTTTTTCCTATAGTCTGCCTTTCTGATTAAGTTGCTTTGTTTGGGGGATGTAGAAGAACAGCTAAATTTCTAACTTTAGTAAATAAATTTTACTTACTTTAATAAATTTTTCTAACTTTAGTAAATAAATTTTACATAAGAAATATATTTCATTAAAACTAGCTAGAAACATGAAAGAGTGCTTTTTATAATGCCTTAATTTATTTTCCGTATATTTGATTTATTAAGTATTATGCAAATTTACTTGGTGAACTGAGAAAGACATCAATAAAATACTGCCTTGTGATGCACAACCATCACAAGACATCACTAACACTGTTGTGATTCTTCCTTGGGTTCTGGCATCAACTTGTATGCTAAGGAGAATGTGCTAAAAGAATGACAGTAACCTACCAAGATATAGTAGTTTGATCTGACACTTGTGATCTTGACTTTGACCATGTTTAATGGACTCTGTTCTGATCAGTGAATAATGTGAATATGTTTATGAAAGCTTTAAAGGACAATTATTTTACTTTTTATTCTACAAAGGCAGTGGTTGTATGGTTATCGTTACAGTATTCTGTGATTTGATTTTAGATATATTTGTTTCCCCCCCAAAAAACTTAATGTGAAACCAAAAACCTAAATTACATGGAATTCGGTTTAACTTTAAGATTCTTCCTGGTGGTGCAGGGGTTAAAATCTCATCACTATCAAATTATTGCCAGCTACTGCAGCCAGGGAGTTAGCCCACATGGCACAGCAGACCTCTCCTGTCTCGCCTGCGGCTCCCCTCACTAGTGTATTTCAGTAGATCTGCCTGTTCTGCTACCTACTCTGTCTATGGTGAATCCTCTCACTCCCCACACCTGTGGCCTATATCCCAGTTCTTTTATGCATAAATAAATAAAAATAAATCCTTAAAAAAAGAGTTAAGAGAATATTATGAACAACTTTAAAATAGCTAGACAAATTATCTTACCAAATTAAAAAACCTCTCAATTGTAATTAATGTATTCTATTAAATTATTTTTAGTGTTTGAGAATGGAAATATTCCTCTGTACACAAGAAGCTTTGTTAAATATTAGGTATCCTTATCATTTCCAGTTTAAACCCTTGTTCTCTATTTGTATTTTAGTTTCCACTTTATTTCTGTGTTGATTTCCTTTTTGTCTTCCTTTCCCTCATTCTGTAAATCCTCCCATAAATAATGTTACTAATTCAATGGTTTGTTTAACCTAGATGTATTTGTGATACCTTCTTTTTTGTATTAAGTCTAAATATATATTAATTTTTAGGATTTTTTTCATGGTGTTATCAAATCATGGTAAAGTAAATATTTAAAATAAAATAGCTGATAGTTTTAAAGGACAATTATTTTACTTTTTGTTCTTCACACCAGTGATTGCATGGTTTTTGCAGTTATAGTACTCTGTGATTTGATTTTGGATGTATTTGTTTCCCCCAAAAACTTAATGTGAAACCAAAAACCTAAATTACATGGAATTCAAATGTCTAAAATTTAATCATATCCCTTGATATGAATGGTATTTACAGTAAATACAGTTATTTAAAATCTAGTTTCTGATCTGAGCAAATTAGTAATTACATGTTGAAGTTTACCATCTTAGTCCTAGTAAGGTAAATTTATGATTATTAGACAATCCCCAAATGAGTTCTGTAAATCTGTTATAATTTTGAAATTCAATTATTTTGTTTAAATATTTTATACAGATCAAAATCTTTTTATATGTTAATGTCTTTCAGTGAAGTCTCTCTTTTTCATTTGCAGATCACATTAGTAAAAAGACTGAGGTAAGTGTTAATTGTAGCCATCTTTATGGTTTCTTACATGAAATCTTTCTAGAAAACATGATGATATTAAAAATAATACTTTAATAATACTTTTTGGAAACAGCCATTTAAGGACAGCAGAGGTTTGTTATGAGTAAACGCAATCATATTTCTGTCAATTTTAAGGACGTAAAATATGACAGAATTAAAAGAATAGCATTATTTAGTTGAAGTATAATATCTTGGCACTAATATCTGAATTTGTGGTGAGTCATAAGGTTACAACATGTTAACCTAAAATTTTAGGGTTAAGGGGTATAACACTCTTAAGTCTTTATTTTAATCTTTAGTAAATAAATATCTTGGCACTAACATCTGAATTTGTGTGTGAGTGAGTTATAAGGTTACAACATGTTAACCTAAAATTTTAGGGGTAAGTGGCATAACACTCTCAAGTCTTTATTTTAATCTTTAGTAAAAACACCCTGAAACCATGTTTTAAGATGTTTTGAAAATTGTGAGGTAAGGTGTGTTTCCTTCACTTAAACCTCAAAGATTAATATAAACCATGTATTTCTCTTATCCTTAATTACAGTAGTGGTGCCTATAGATAACTTCTTAGGGTTATTGTTTGCTTTTTTTTTTTTTTAAGACTCCAGTACATCCACTAAAAACTTTTTTATAAAATATTTTTGAATTTTGAGGAAGGTACTAATAAAATGTTAAGATTTCTTTTAACTTCTTTAGGTAATAGTTTGAAAGCTTCATTATATTTTTCATATATTTTTGTTAGTAATTTCATTAATGAATTTTTTTAAGTCATGCGTTCCTTGATATCACTTTAGAATGCATAAATGATTTTTGACCATTTTTGTTGTTGTTTCAGGCATTTGCTTGACAGGTGAAGGGAATGAAATCCATCTTTAAGAAAACCACATTTCAATAACTGTGATTATATTAGTAAAAAAGTGCTGAACTGTGCACACAAATACAAAATTGATACTGTTGTTAAAAGAAATGGTAGGAATTTTTTTTTAACAAACTGCTAGAACCAGTTCTCAGATAAAATTTAAGTGAACACATATATACATTGAGTATTAATTTTACGTTTGTAAGTAGAAAACATGTACATTTGGACTGATTCTAATTTTTCTTTTTAATCCACTGAGTTATGTGGAAGTTAGTTTTATGCAAATGAGAAAGCAGGTTCAAATGGTACAACCTATTCCTGAGACTACCAGCAATGTCAGTGAAATAAAAAATAATTTTTATAAATTTTCCTGCTTGCTTTTTCTTCTTTATTGATTTGAAAGAAGAAAAAAAAAAGGCAGACTGATAGAGTATCACCTATTTAATATATTCAGTTTGAATTGTATTGACACAGTCATATGTATGTAACCTAACATATATTTTGTCTTCATTATAATTTTAGAACTAATTTCTATTTGTCTATTATAAGTAATTTGATGTCATAAAATTTGAACTATCCTGACAAAACATTTTCTACATTTATAAAAACAGCCTAATTAAAATTTATTTTCTACATAACCATTTAAATAAATTGGTCAGGACCGCCCCTGGTGGCGCAGTGGTTGAGTGCTGGGCTGCGAAGCTGCCTGCAGCCTCTGCAGCACCAGTTCCATCTCCGGCCACTGGTGAGGGTCCCACATGGCACAACAGATCTCTCCTGCCATGCCTGCTACTCCCCTCAGCAGTGTATTTCATCAGTCTGCCTGTTCTGTTCCCCGCTCTGGCTCTGGTGAATTCTCTCACCCTCCCGTGCTTCTGACTGTACCCAGTGCTTGTATAAATAAATAAATCTAAAAAATAAATAAAACAAACAAATAAATAAATAAATAGGTCAGAAGAACATGTGATTAACATTATCTTTTGACACTTGTTGAAAGTATACCAAAATTATGTTCTGTTTCATTAGAGGTATTACTTTCTGAGGCTTGAATATTTAAATGTAGAAATTGTTATGCTGTTGCTCAAGGAATTTAGGAAAGGCTTTATTTTTGAAATAGTCTTTAAAGAAGTCTGAAAAAAATTCCAAGTTCTGCTTTAAAAAAAGATGTGCTTTCTACTCCAGAAAATATACTAGTCTTTGTATGCTCAATAGCTGATTTAATTATTTCCATCTTTAACATGTTATATATACCAAGAGATTTTTTTCCCTAAAATTCTAACTTCTGTAGTGAACCTTATACATCTCAGCTCTCCTTTTTTAAAAATCATATATTTATTGGATAAAATTCAAAGGAGAAAAGATTTTTTAGTTTATTGCTGAGTGATAAAGAGTACTTGAACCACCTGTATATTCCTGTAGCAGCTAGCTAAACTTGTTCTCAGGTTAGTTTCATCATTCCTTTTTTTATTTATGTGTTCTTAATCTTGGTGCTTTCTTCCAGTCCCAATTCTTTGTAGTCGCTCTCATGCTGAAACAATTAGAATGCAAATGACACTTGTAGGAGTGGAGAATGGGAATAATTAATTTTTCTTCATTAAATGTCCAGGAGACGTTGGTTGCCATTGCTATGCCAGTTCCTTGCCCATCCTTCTTCTCTACAGTGTGGTCAAAACATCCCAAGAGAATTCTAATCAAGCAATATGAATAATAGATAGTACTTATACATACTCCTTAAAACCTCAACTAATTACACCTGCCAAGGAACATTATTTGTTCCTTAATGTTGTTTCCTTTGTTTTAAATTTTAGTGTGTTGCCTTTGTAAATACCAGTGCTTCTAGATGGAGTATCTCATAGCTGTTTCTTTTTCTTTAGTCCCATTTTTATCTGGCCTTCCTCCTAGTATCATTCAGTAGATTTCAAAATTTTAATGATCATCATATCTTGAAGTCTAAAAGTTCAAATCTTCAATATACTGGGAAAGACATACTCAAGAAGAGTACCCACAAAGTTGTAAAAGTGGTTACCAAATAGTAGAGATGAAGAGGTTGTCGGCTAGGGGCAGGAGAAAGGGTTAATTTTCATAATATAAATTTTAGATTTTATATCATGTGTATGTACTGCCTATTTGAGATCTATGATAGAAAAGACTGAGGCTTGCCCACATTAGAACTCAATGAAAAACCATAACGTGATAGCTCAATTTCACCCTGCAGTTGGGATATCTAGGGCATCATGCCAAGCCTGTAGAAGGGACATGTGGACCTAACAGCAACTGGACAACCGGGGGATATGCTTTAAATTTGACAGAAGCCTGCACATAGCCTCACCAGACAGCAGAAACTCCCAGCTGCCCACCTGTGAACAGGATGGTCCAGTGTTGTCTGGAGACACATCAAAAAGTTAAACAGAGTTACTGTATGTCCCAGCAATTCTACTTCCAGGTTTATTAAGAGAATTGGAAACATTTCCATACAAACACTTGTGCATGAATGTTTATGGCAGCATTATTCATAATAGCCAAAAGGGTAGAAACAACTCAAATGTCTTATCAGCTGATGGAGAAAATAAAATGTGGAGTTTCCGTGAATGCTGTATTATTTGCAGTAAGTAATGAAGTACTGATACGTGCTGTAATATGAAGCTTGAAAACATTTTACTAAGTGAACGAAGCTAGTCACAAAAGACCATATATCCGTTCATTTCAGGTACCAGAATAGAAAAATTTAAACATATAGAAAGTAATTTACCCTAGGGACAGCTGAGGGGGAGATTTTAGGAAAGAAATAGGGAATGACTAGTACTAGATTCAGAGTTTATTGGAGAGGGGAGGAGTGATGAAACTGTTAAAAAATCACGGCTATGGCTGTACAGTTGTGTGAATATATTAAAAACTTTGAATTGTGTACATTATTTTTTTTTTTTTTTATAGAGGCATGTTTATTTATTTATTTATTTTATTTGTTTGTTTGTTTGTTTTGTCTATACATGCACTGGGTACAGTCAGAAGTGGGGGAGGGTGAGAGAATTCACCAGAGCCAGAGCGGGAAGCAGAGCAGGCAGAAGGACCGAAGTACACTGCTGAGGGGAGCAGCGGGCGGCAGGAGAGGTCTGCGCGCCATGTGGGACCCTCCTCTGGTGGCCGGGGAGCAGCCGGGGATCGAACCGGCGCCGCAGAGGACGCGGGCAGCTTCGCAACCCAGCGCTCAACCGCTGCGCCACCGGGGAGGCCCTGAATTGTGTACATTAAATGGGTGAATTCTAGGATATTAGGTAAAAAACCTTTTCAGTCAGCAATATCCAATTCAAAATATGAAGAAGTAAAGGACACAAGAAAATATGGCTATACTCTTTATCTTCTGGAGATGGGTAAAGATCAGATGATTGTCTCTTAGTTTCCATTTTTCCTTCATTTTCTATCCCTCTAATAGCTGACTAGGTTTGTTAAATGCTTAAATGTTTGTGTTGAATAATAGTAAATAATAATTCATTTTTGACAGGACTTGAGTTCTTCCCAGACTTTATCATCTGATGGAGGATTCTTCAATAGACTGGAAGATGATGTTCATAAAATACTTATTAGAGAAAAAAGAAGAGAACAGCTTTCAGAATATAATGGAACAGATAATTGTGCACCTCACGAACACAACCAGGCATGTACAATAGAAATTCTCTTAAAGTTACAGTGAAATTAAAATGCAACAAAAAAGTAAGAAGTAGAATTCAATTATGATTATATAGCACATTAGAATATTTTTAGTCATTCTCATGTATATAAGTATGTGTATTAAAAAGTATGAAGTACTTCATTGATGAATATTTATTGAACATATGCTATATGCTAGATTCTGTTGGATACCAGTGTGGGGAGAGGGAATCAGACCATCTTACCCTTAGATATTCAGAGTAGTGGGGATAGGAGGGCATAGACCTGTAAAGTGAATATCATTCAGCATAATGAAGACTTTAAAAGATAGAATAATAAAGATTTTTGAGCAGAAAGAGTAATATACTACTCTTTAAGTAACTTTCAAAGGTTATTTTTGTGATGGATTTTGAATGATGAATAACTGTGAAGTGATAAATGCATGTAGACTTTACAACCTACGGGAAGTGAAAGAATAAAGACCCTGAGTTATGAAAGCCCTTATGACTGAGTATCCACGTAAAGAATTAGATGAATGTGGAGTAGGTTGGATTTAGACTATAAACTTTTCTTTGTAAAATTAAGAAAGTAGAATTTTATTCTATAGACCAGTGTAAACTATTGCAAACTATTGTTCTCTTGTTATAAGGCCCAAGAGCAAAGAATAATAATCACATTTGAAAATATTGTTTAAAAGATCTCATTATATAGAAACCTGTGAGTCCGTGTATATTTTTCTCACCAAAGCCACTAGTCTTCTGTCTTATTTTGTCTTAAACTATAAACCTGTTCTTTACCTGATAGTGACTTTCATTTTGTTAGTAGCTTTATTATCCCAGTCTGAATTGTGTAAATAATTTCAGCAGTGTCCAGTACTGTTTTTCCCTTACTTACTTGACTTTCTGTTACTCCCTGCTTGTCAGTTCACAGCACTGGCTATCACAGCATTTATTGTCTACCTTCTTTATTCTAATTTAATTTCTAGACTGCCAGGTATTGCTGGAAAAATATTTTTAAAAACAGTGCTAACATTCTTTTCTGAAGGTCCGTGCTATGTAAATTTTTCCATATCATTGCTATTCAACAGTCCTTTGATTCCTTTCTTCTTGACTGACAAATTACTGCATTGGCTATTTCAAATTCTAAAACCATATTTCCCATCATTTTATTCTCTTTAGTGGGCATTATCTCTGACAAATTTAATACTTCAACAAATTAAACACTGTGTTGTATTATATAGAACACAAAAAAACTCACATCTTAAGACATTTTATTCCAGTGCACTAGTGAGACTGGTTTATAAATAATATTATTCCACATAAAAATCCTTGCTTTTTCTGGCACTGAAAAATTTAACATTTTTCTGGCTTGTCCTAAATATCAACTTTTTGTGCAGTTCAGGTAACCTTGTTGACATTTATGGTTAGCATATTTGCTTCCTCTTTTTTCACTCATTATGATTTTCCCCTTTGTAGCTCATATATTCTTATTTTTTAAACAAGATAATTTTTGGAAAGAGAGAATATTAATATATTTCAGCAAATAATTAGAGGCCTCAAATTCTTGGTAAAATAGTTGGGCATATACAAGTTTAGTTAAATGATTAAGTAGTATTAATGACCTTACTAAAGTGACTGCAGAATAGTAGAGAGCAGTCTTTGAAATACAAAAACTTTGTAACAAAATGTAGCTCTGCAGCATATCAGCTGTGTTTCATTGGCATGAAATTATTTGCTTTTCATGCACTATTAGGAAAACATAATTATGAGTTAAAATGTTTAGCAGAGCATGTTGTACACAGTATTCATGTAATAATTATTTTTGTACAAGGTAGACAGTTTTAAGTCCAATAAAGGATGTACCGATAAAGTGTCATGGTAATTCACGGAAATGGTAGGAATAAGAGATGACTTCCATATTAGTAGAAAATAGCTATTGAGTTGGAAGAAAGTAGTAGAATTTGAACATGCAGAGGTGAGAATGAAGAAATAGAATATCTGGAATAAGAGAAAGGATGCAGTGAAGTATAAACCAATTAAAACAAAATGTTCACAGAGAAGGATAGTCTAAGATTGGTAAAAGGTTGGAAAGAATTGTGGAGGATTTAAAGACCTGACTTATGATTCAGTTGGTAGATAATAAAGAATTTTTTTGAAGATTTATTTATTCATGCATACAAGAACCGGGGTACAGACCAGATGTGCAGGAGGGTGAGAGGATTCACCAGAGACAGAGCGGGGAACAGAACAGGCAGATTGATTGAAATACATTGCTGAGGGGAGCAGCAGGCGAGACAGGAGAGGTCTGCCTCGCCATGTGAGTATCTTGCCTGCTAGCCGGAATCGAACCTGCACTGCAGAGGCTCCAGACAGCTTCCCAGCGCTCCGCTCAACTGGCGGAGCCACCCGGGGAGGCCCCAATAAAGAATTTTTTAATGCTTTTGAGCAGAGAACAAAGTTTTACACACTCCTTGATTTACAGTGATTCAGCACAATTTTTCAACTTTAAGATAGTTGAAAAGCAATATGCATACATTGGAAACCATAATTTGAATTTTTAATGCTAAAATGTGGCAGTGAGCCATAGCTCTCAGTCAGCCATGCTGTCATAATGGTAAACAGCTGATACTCTGTGGACTGTTTTTTACATTTCAGTACAGTATTTAATAAATTATATGAGATATTCAACAAGTATAAAATAGCTTTGGTGAAATTATTTTGTATAACTGTAGGCTAATGTAAGTGTTCTGAGCACATTTAAGTTAGGCTAGGCTACACTCTGATATTTGATAGATTAGGTACATAAATATGTTTTCAGTTTAGGATATTGTCTTTAAATTTTTTTTTTCTTATGCCATTGTTACATTTTATACAGTGTTAGTTACATTTTGTACTGTGGATGTAGTCCCAGTTGTTCCACCACCACAGCACCTCTGATTCATTACCACAGTCCCTTGTACTCTATCCTTCCCTGTTTTGACCCCTTTACTGTCCCCACCCCTACTGTATACCTCAGATTTATAGTCAGCTTGCAGGTTTTACAGTTTAGGGCATTTTCAAATTATAATTGTTTTATTGGGATGTCACTTCATCATAAGTTAAGTAAGATCTGTATATGGTAATATTAATTTCATTCATTGTCTACAAAAATACTGAAGGAAGGTGAAGGCTAATGATTGGAATTAGACAATACAAATTATTGGTAAAGACATAGAATACTGGTAACTCTACTAGCAGTAATACAAATTGTTATAACCACTTTGGAAAACAATTTGTTATTAACTGTTAAAGTTGAAGATAGTCAGAGACTGTATATTCTGTAAATCCTAACCTAGATTAAACCTTCGAGACATGTTCAAGAAGAATATTCAAAACTCATTTGTTTGGCCTCCCTTGGTGGCACAGGCAGTTGAGCACAGTGCTGTGAAGCTGTCCGCAGTGAGATACCCACATGGCGAGGCAGACCTCTCCAGTCTTGCCCACTGCTCCCCTCAGTAGTGTATTTCAATCAGTCTGATTGTTCTATTCCCTGCTCTGTCTCTGGTGAATCCTCTCACTCTCGTGCACATCTGGCCTGTACCCTGGTTCTTGTATGCATGAATAAATAAATCTCTAAAAAAAACTCATTTGTCTGGAGCAATGAAATCAATAGGAGAAATGAATGAGTTACAGTTATATGTAGCAATATTGAATATAAAAAATATAGTGAACTAAGTTAGGAAAGCACTCGTTTCACAGAATATTGGCTCTTTCCTAGACCTTTGCTCAAAGTTCATTTCACATGCCATGTCCTCCCTCAACCACCAAAAACAGAATGCCTGGATGTGATCTTTCCTTTATTTTCTATAGCTCATAGTATTGTATTTACATTGTAGTGTATTTCACATAGCACATTCTTAAATCTCTTCCTGGTCTTTCTTTTCTACTACATTGCTTTTGTTAAGCTAGGTGCCATGACCATTCTATTTTAATTATTTTTGCTGTATGCTATATAATTATTTGGTAGGCAAATCCCTCTTCATTGCATTAATTTTTTTTCACCCTGTATTCTTCAGATGAATGACTATCTTGCTTAAATCCTATTGGAATTTGAGGGGAATTTGATTGAATTTACAGGTTAATATTTACTAATATTTACTCTTCCCATTACAAATGTAACTTTGTTCTGTTATTTTCAATATTGTACAGTTTCCCCTAGGGTTCCTGAAATTTTCTGAGTTTTAGTCTTAGTGATTTTTTTTTATTGCTATTGGGAGGATATGATTTTTCTAGTTAGAATTTTTACCTGTTAATTGCTGATACAAAGAAGAAATATTTTTGGTTTTTTGTTATTTGTTTTTTTCTCACTAGGTTTTCAGTTCTTTTGGGGTTTGAAGATAGACCAGTAGCTTGTCACAGAACACTTTTAATATGCTTATTCCTGTACAGAAATATCAATTTTCAAGTCCTGATATTGTTCTAGGTTATTTTTGTAGTTTGAGATTAATCTGCTTGTATTGTACACAATTGTGATTATATAAAATTGAAGTGGAAATGTAGTCAACTGTTTAAGGTTGCTTTACAAAATGAATTAAAATCAGATTTTTTCCTCTTAGACTTTTCACTATTGTAAGCCACAATTGACAGAAGTAGCTTAGTTCTAAAATTGTGTGTTTTTCTCTGTTTAGGAAGTAGTTCTGAAAGATGGAAGAATTGAAAGATTAAAGTTAGAACTTGAAAGGAAAGATGCTGAAATCCAGAAGCTGAAAAATGTGATCACTCAATGGGAGGTTTGTATTTATTTACTGTTAAATTTAAATCTACATATTTGTGTATTTTCTGTTTTTCTCTTATGTAAATATGTTTACTATATGAGTTCTGCTATTTAGGTTTTTCAATTTATTAATGAAATAAAATCTGAATAATGATTTATGATATGGTATACAACACTAAATTTATAATATACAACACTAAATTTGCCTTTTTAGCCATGTTTTAGTATGTAATTTAATGGCATTGTTACCTTTACAAGGTTGTGTAGCCACCACCAAAACGTTTTTATCGCCATAAACAAACTCCCTATCCATTAAACAATTACTTGTTTCCTCTTAGGCCCTGATAACCTCTAATCTCTATGAATTTACTTTTTCTAGTGGGACCAAAGAATATTTTTCTTTGTGTGTCCATTTTATTTCACTTAGTATGATGTTTCCCAAGTTCATCTTATTTTAGCAGATGTTTATGGTTGAATAATACTCCATTGTATGTCTGTTCTACATCTTGTTTATCCATTCATGTCCTCATCACTCGAATTGTTTCCACCTTTGAGCTATGATGAATGTTGCTGTGAACATTGTTGCTCAGGTATCTTGAAGTCCCTGCTCTCAGTTCTATGGGGTTTATGTCTAAGAGTGGACTTGCTGGATCATATAATAATTCTATGTTAAACTTTTTGAGGAACTGCCAAATTTTTTTTCATAGCAACTGTACTATTTTACAGTCCCAACAGCAATTCACAGAAGTTCCATTTTCTCCACAATGGAGAAACAATGTTAACACTTGTTATGTACACATAGATTTTAAGCATAAACCTACTTAATCCTTCTCTTCCTTCCTGAGGGTTAAAAGGAATCCCCTAAATTTCAAGCATTTTTCTTTTTTGACTAATATTTATTGCTCATCAATATTTTTTGAGTGTCTTATCTTAGATAATTTCCTGGGTCCTGTATATGTAATAGTGGAAAAAAATAAATCAAGTTCCAACCCTGATGTTTAGTACATTTCTCTTCCTCTTCTGCTCATATCTTCAGAATCGTCCCTACTAAAACATTGTTGGGACATACCCACACACATGCTTTAGGTTTCTTTGTCATTTACATTTTCATTTGCTTTTTGTTGGGCACTTACCATATGTAGGCACAGGGAGTACAAAGTTAACTTAGCAATAAATTCATGGTCTAATAGAGAAGGTAAATATTTAAATTGCAGGTACAATGTAGAATTGAGATTTCACAGTGTTCCAGAAACACAGAAACAGGAATGAATAAGTTGTTCTTCTAAACTGGTAAGTATTTCATAGAAAAGATAGTGTTTCTAGGGACAGAGAGCAGCATATATATATTAGTAGGAAAAGGCATTGTTACTAACATTTAAAGAAATTATAGGTGAGATTGGAGATGTTATCTGGGGTTAGAATTTGAAGACTTTTAGATTATTTTAGACAGAGGTCTTTAGAAGGGAAGTGACCTGAGAATTGTTTCATGGGATGGTAATGACCATAACTGGGGCCTAAAGTGAATGAACATAGTCTGGTAAAACACCTGACAGGTATATTGAGTGTGAGAGGAAGAGCATGTTTAGAACTGTTTTGAGGAAATGGTAACTAATAGATTTCATCTTGGACATGATGAATTTGAAATGGCTGTGATGAAAGCATAGATATTCAGGATGCAATTGGACATGGTGGAGTCACTGCATAGGTATATTTAACTTAAAGTGCTCTCTTTTTCATGAAGTTAAAAATACTAATAAGGGCACTCTGATTTGTGTTGTTTATTACAAATTGCCTGTATTACAAATTACCTAGTATCCTATACATTTATGTTTTATAGATACAATTACTATTCAGAATTGTATATCCAAAATTATATATGGTATTTTTATGGGCAATATAAAGAATTTTCAGGGGCCTCCCCAGTGGCGCAGCATGTTGAGCGCCACGCTGTGAAGCTGTCCGCAGCCTCCATAGCGCAAGTTTAATTCCTGGCCGGCCAGGGAGAATCCCACATGGTGAGGCAGACCCCTCCTGTCTCGCAGGCTGCTCCCCTCAGCAGTGCCTTCCGTCCCTCTGCCTGTCCTGCTCCCCGCTCTGTCTCTGGTGAATCCTCTACCCTCCTGCGACTCTGCCTGTACCGCAGCTCCTGTATAAATAAAAATAAATCTTTCAAAAAAAATAAAGAATTTTCACAGGTAATTTTGCCCATTTGCAATTTTTGTTTCATATACTGACTTTAGATCCTAAAGTTTAGCATAGGAGCTGCCACCATGTACGTTGACATAAGTCTTGGATGAAAGGTTTTGAGCTAGAGATAGAGCTTTGTGGATGTAAACAAAGTGGCAAAATACAACAAAAGTAACTGAAATATGGTGGTTGCCTGAGGGAGATGGGTGGGAGATGTGATAGTGTACTGGTATTTGGGGCTTTGGTAGAGGTGAGTGAAATATGTGAACATGTTGAGGTGGAAAATAGTACTCCCAAAATTAATTATGCAAATGAATAGCCAAGTATTAAAATTTTAATTAAAAATATTTAGTTAATGAAATAACAAATTGGTAAAGCCTTAACTAAGATAAAGAAATGTGTTGTACAATTTACTAACTGCTGTATGTGTTTACCTAAATTAAAAGTTAAATAAAATTTAACATTCATTTTCTTAGTCACCAGTCACATTTCTAGTCAGTTTGTAACCACATGTTGCACAGTGACAGTTATAGGACAAATAGAAAAATTCTAGTATAATTTTGGACAACCTTAGTATAGAGCTATACCAGGACCTTTTTTTTTTCCATCCAATTATTTTGAGTTGTATAAGGATTTTGAGAAAGAAAAGAGAAAGGCACATGAGGAAAATTTAGTATTATGCTGAGTTTTCTCCACTTTTTGTCATTCCTTTGTTTTCAACCTCCTATAATATATTTTTTTAAAGATTTATTTATTTATACAAGTCCTGGGATACAGGCCAGAGGCGGGAAGGTGAGAGAATCCACCAGAGACAGAGCAGGGAGCAGAATAGGCAGAAGGACCGAAATAAACTGCTGAGGGGGAGTAGCAGGGGAGAGGTCTGTTGCTCCATGTGGGACTCTCCCTGACCGGGCGTGAATCGAACCCATGCAGCAGCACTGGGCTCAACCCACTGTGCCACCTCCTATAATAGGTGGTGGGAGGCCCAACCTCCTATAATATTATTTTCTGTAATTATACCAGGGATTTAATATAAGTAGTAGATTGTTATGAATATGTTTTCCTCCATTCTTTTTCTTTCAAAAGTAATTTGTCTTTAAACAAGCCTAGAATTCATAACTTCATGAATTGTTAGTAAATCATAAACTATATACTTTTTAAAAATTAATTTTTTTCTTTGATCCTTAGGCAAAATATAAAGAAGTAAAAGCAAGAAATGCACAGTTACTGAAAATGCTTCAAGAAGGTGAAAGTAAGTGATTTATGTTTTTAGAATAAAAAACTTTCTGAAAAAAAATTTGAACATAATTTTTCAAGGTATGTGATTTATCAAGTTAACAAAATAAAAAGGGTTCCCAAAGTGATACAAACTGGATTGTTGCTGGTAATTTTATCATTACAAGTCACTCTTACAGCACCTTTATATGATACAAGTTCATGACTTAGGATTTATTTATGAATATTCAAGAGAAACTCTTGAAATTTTAATTCTTATAAATTATTAGAGGAAATTCTTTTTTTAAAAAAAAGATTTGTTAGTTACCATACTAAGAGGGTGTAGGCTAGAGGTATTGGTGGGGAGGTGAGAGGATTCACCAGAGGCAGACTGGGGAGCAGACTTGGTGGCTCTACTGAAATACACTGCTGAGGGGAGTAGCAGGCGAGATAGGAGAGGTCTGCTGCACCATGTGGGTCAGCTCCCCCACCTCCACTTAGAGCTGCAGTGACTGCTAATAGCTTGATAGTGCTGAGACTTAACCCCTTGCGCCACCAGGGAGGCCCCCGTATTAGAGGAAATTCTTATAAATTATTTAGAGGGAAAACAAAACAAATACCTAAAATTCATAATTATCAGAAAGGTTTGTAATTATTTAGATTTTCCTTCTCTCATCTTGTCTGCTCTTCATACTTTTGCTAAACTTTTTACAATAAGTCACAAGCAGAATACCAGAGTAATTACTAAAAAATTATTAGTTATTAAATTTACATTTTAAGGCCCCCCCACCAAATCAACTGCATTCCTGAATATGTACACCTAGTGAGGCTTACTATGACAGTTCCATGAAAAATTTCCATTCATAACAGCAAAGGAAGTATATATTAATTTTTTTTTAAGATTTATTTATTTATTTATACAAGCACTGGGTACAGTCAGAAGCGCGGGAGGGTGAGAGAATTCACCAGAGCAAGAGCAGGGAGCAGAGCAGGCAGAAGGACCGAAATACACTGCTGAAGGGAGCAGCGGGCAGCAGGAGAGGTCTGCGCGCCATGTGGGACCCTCCTCTGGTGGCCGGGGAGCAGCCGGGGATCGAACCAGCGCTGCAGAGGCTGCAGGCAGCTTCGCAACCCAGTGCTCAACCGCTGTGCCACCGGGGAGGCCCGTATATATTAATTTTTAATATAACATTTACACAAAGGAAATTATAAACCATGAAAGATAAAGATATAGGGCCTTCCCAGTGGTGCAGCGGGTTGAGCCCAGTGTTGTGAAGCTGTCCGCAGCCTCTACAGTGCAGGTTCATTCCCGGCTGGCCAGAGAGACACCCACATGGCACAGCAGACCTCTCCTGTCGCACCCGCTGCTCCCCTCAGCAATGTGTTTTGGTCCATCTGCCTGTTCTGCTCCCCGCTCTGTCTCTGGTGAATCCTCTCACCCTCCCGCATCTCTGGCCTGTACCCCAGCTCTTGAATGAATAAATCTTTTTTTAAAAAGGTAAAGATATAAATGAGAAAGTCTTCTGAATAGACAAAATTTAGTGTACTAAATCATTCTCCATTAATAAATATTAATCAAATCCCAAATATAGTGCTTCATTGCATTAAAAAATGGTGAAACTTACCTTCAAGAGTAAGTAAACAACAACCAAAATTATTTCAAATGTGAAGATTACTGGAAATGGAATTATCCTACCAAAATGTAAAATATATTTTAATAGTTATCAAGTAATATGAGTAAAAACCAGAAATCATGTCATTGAACAAAAAATAGTCTTGAAGTAGAGTCAAATGTTTTTTAATAACTTTGTTATACTTTATAGTTATATCTTTATTGTACAGCTTAACTATTAAAAAACAAAACAAAATTATAAAAATGAAATAATTATTTACAAGATGTCTTTCTAATTGAAGAATTTAAAGGTTCACTGGAGATTGGATGAGTGATTTTCAAATATGTCAGAATAAATGTTTCTTAAGGAATAAAAAGTAAGAAAAATTGATTTAAATTGGTTACCATTAAGTAATATTAGTTACCATAGTATAATATTTCAGTTAGGAGAATTTTATGTAGGAACATTACATGAAAAATACTCACAGTACGTTAGAGTATACATATGCTGGCATTATAATGTCAGTGTACCTAGTCAGTTCTGTCATAATGTATGTTACTAAAAATCACCAATCTCTGCAAAATCCCATATTCACAAATTCTATAGGGAGAGGGATGAATAGCAAACAACACTCAAAAACTTCATAGTTGGGCCTCCCCGCTGGAGCAGCGGTTGAGCGCTGGGCTGCGAAGCTGCCAGCAGCCTCTGCAGCGCCAGTTCAATCCCCAGCCACTGGCAAGGATCCCACATGGCGCGTGGACCTCTCCTGCCATGCCCGCTGCTCCCCTCAGCAGTGTACTTAGTCAGTCTGCCTGTTCTGCTCCCCGCTCTGGCTCAGTGAATTCTCTCACCCTCCCGCGCTTCTGACTGTATCCAGTGCTTGTATAAATAAATAAATCTTTAAAAAAAAACAAAAAAACTTCATAGTGACACATTAGAGATGGGCAACTAATATAACTAGTAAAGTTTAATACATGTTAAAATGCTTAAACATATAAATACTGTAATAAACATGACCCTTTATCTTGAAGACAAAGTTTGCTTGTAAAAATAGGCTTCAGAGGGCCTCCCCAGTGGTGCAGCAGGTGAGCGCAGTGCTGGGAAGCTGTCCGCAGCCTCTGCAGTGTGGGTTCGATTCCTAGCTGGCAAGGGAGATACCCACATGGTGCGGCAGGCCTCTCCTGTCTTGCCCGCTGCTCCCCTCAGCAGTGCTTTCAGTCCGTCTGCCTGTTCTGTTCCCCACTCTGTCTTCTGGTGAGTCCTCTCGCCCTCCTGTGCCTCTGGCCTTTACCCCAGCTCTGGTATAAATAAATAAATCTTTAAAAAAGGCCTCCCTGGTTGTGCAGTGGGTTGAGTGCAGCGCTGTGAAGTTGTCTGCAGCCTCTGCAGCGCAGGTTCAATTCCCAGCCAGCCAGGGAGATTCCCACAAGGTGTGGCAGAACTCTCCTCTTGTGCCCGCTGCTCCTCTAGGCAGTGTATTTCAGTCGTCTGCCTGTTCTGCTCCCCACTCTGTCTCTGGTGAATCCTCTCACCCTCCCACGTCTCGGCCTTTACCCCAGCTCTTGTATAAAAATAAATAAATCTTTTAAAATATATAAATAAATAAATAAAAAGGTTTCAGAAGAGTTGCAGCTTGTATGTTACTGTGAAGTGATGAAAGGATGGAAATTTGGCGTGGTTCTTTAACACACATGAACTGAGATAGTTGGTAGATACATGAGGTGTGTGTATGGGTACAGTTTTCTTTATTTATGAAATTCTACTTTAGCAAATGCAAAATTCAAGTATTATCAATCTTGTTGCAACAAATTCATGTTTTCAAAAGGATTATAGAAGAACTGACTGTAATTGAAATATTACATAACTATTAAAAATCACTTGTTCTCACTGAGTATGTATAATTCTGGGAATGGAGGAGTAACAAATATAAATTGTAAATGTTCCCAAGTTGATTCCAGGGAAATGTGATTTGTTTCATGACAGCATTTCACCTTATGGCACATCATATTAAATTTCAAAAAAAATAAATTTAAATTACAGCATTATATTGGTAGTGCTGTGGTGTTATCAGTACTCATATATTTGAACATTTCCTCCTTTACTAATTTTATTATATTTTTGTCTCCAATTTTTCCTAGCTTATTTTCAAAGTTGAAGAATTAGTTTTTTGTATATCAGTCATTACCATGAGTCAAGGAAGGTTTTTCCCTATGTGAAATTCTTTTTCTTGTGTCTTTGACCTCTCTAGTATAAATGGAAAGTACTATCTTTCATCATATCTGTATAATTACTTTGTCAGCATATCTGTATAATTATTTTGTCATGTAAAATACAAAATTTCCAACAAAAACTGCTATGGTGATGATAATAAAAGTAAGAATTTGCTAGTGAAAAATAAGAGCTAAATAGGGTCAACAAATACACTTAATTAAGTATGAGGAGGACCATCAATCTTTGCCTAGCTGCACCTGTGTCTTAATTCACTAAAGTATTGTTAAAGAATTTGAGTGAAAAGTCTAATACTGTTGTTTCTCTCTCTTTTTTTTTTTTTGTCAGTGAAAGATAAAGCAGAAATACTTCTACAAGTTGATGAATCACAGAGTATCAAAAATGAGCTAACTATACAGGTAAGGATAACTGAAGTATACCTACAATCCTGATTTTCCTAAGCTATTTAGTCTTGAATCACAAAGCTTGACTGAACAAAAAATATAGCCCAAAAAGCATTGAATGAAAGTGATAAAATTTATAATACTTCATTATTATTGTAGGTAACTAATGAATGAAGATTCTATTTACTGTGCTAAGGGAGGGAAGTATGTCCTGAAAAATGAGGGCCGATAAGGTTATGTTTTAGTTGACAAGGACTATAAATATAGAAATAGGACAGATAGAATTTATTTTATTCATGGACTTGATTTTCTCCCCCCCATCCTTATTTTGTTGTCTTGTCTTTGAACTGCAGGCATGTTCTGTCTATAATATACGGCTGAGTAAAATGCCTAATTTAACTTGTGTATATGGGTCAAGGGGGAGTTCTCTTCTGATGTTTTCATCTAGTTTTCAAAAATAATCATTGAGAATAAGTGTTAAGAATCAAAACTTTTTGCCTTAAATGACCAAGAAAGTCTTTTAATTGAGTGTTTGGTTACAGGTGTCCTCACTTCATGCTGCATTAGAACAAGAAAGATCTAAAGTGAAAGTATTACAAGCAGAGTTAGCCAAATACCAGGTATGCTTTTATAATTTTGAAAGTGTTTTTAATCACAAGCAGTACATTTGTATTAGATACAATGTGAGAATAAATGCTCTATTTTATTCTTAGGCAAAAATTTATTCACTAAACACACTGATCATTTCATTAACATACGTTATAGAAAATGTTGAGGTTATTTTAGAAAATGTTAAGGATATTGCTATATAATTAATTTAGAAAATTCCTTGATACTACATAGATAATGTGGTGTGTGTGCTACTGAATCACATCCAGAGAAGCCACATGACATTTGTCCCATTATATAACTTGTGTATAGCAGTATCTCCTAGATATCTTCATTGTCAAGCTATATTTCTCCTTAGTAGTTAATAGATACTAATGTGTGAAGTGAAGGTTATGTGAGTGTCCTTTCCTTTTCACCCAAAAGTTTAGTATTCATTCATGATCTTTGTATCTGTTATTATCTTGGTGGTTAGAAAATAGTAATTTTTTTTTCTAATTCTGTTATTTCATCTGCATTTGCAAGCTGGCATTCAGATTTTTTCAAATGGAGCAGTTAAAAAAACATCTGTTTTGTTTCAACATATGTATACGTGTTTGTATAGATATACACACATAAATGGATTTGTATGTACATATGAATGTGTATCTATGTCATAATATAAAACTGCATTCATTAATGTGGTATCAGAGTCAAAAATGTTTGAAAGCCACTGGTAAAAGTTGGTTAGCACTAGCTTTAACCTCTCATCAAGATAAATCACTTTCTGCCTGGGAGACTTTGGAAAGGATGCCTGTATTTTGTTTTAATTTTTTGTTAAATAGCAAGTTAATAGTTTTAAACTATTAACATTTGTACCTGTCTATAGTGGTAAATACTAAGTAAATGTTTTCTATAACTTTAATATTTGTAAAAATTATTCAGTAGTATGCACAAATTTGCAACAAACTCAAAAAAGACATTTCTTTCTTTTTATAACCCAAAATACCTTTATTCTCATATATTCTTAAAATGAAAATGTGCATAAAATATTTCCTAAATAATTTGTTTACCCTGTTTTTTTTTTTTTTTTTAAACAGGGTGGCAGAAAAGGGAAAAGAAACTCTGAATCTGACCAGTGTAGGTGATTACATTCGCCTGAAAATTCTAAATTTTCAGGGTTTTACAAAAATGTATATATAAAATGCTGTGCAACTGCTAAACTATGCAGTTTTTGTTGAAGAAATTTAAAACATTTGGCTCACTAACAGTCTATAATTTTATGTTATTTTGGCTTGAAGTGAAAAGAGAAATAGAATTCCAGCAGAACTAAATGATTATTGTTTGCCGTCCATACTTCTTATCACTTTAGTTTTTCATCAGTCAATAAAATTAATTTACTCTTTTATTAATGTTTGATTTTTTAAGTTCAGAAACAAAGTGAAAGCTTTATTTTTGCTTATTGCACAATCAGTTGGGTCATTTCAGTTCAGTAAATACTTACTCAGCACTTTCTGCATGCTAAACGCTATGGCACATACAACATGTGTGAAAAATGGTTAATATTGTAAAGTTAGCTCAGGGGCACTGTGGGGAGTGAGAATATGCTCTATTATAATAATTAAAGACAACACCAAAAATAATTATCATACATATAAGAGTGTGATATCCCATAGTTTGGGATTTGAGAAAACTTTCCTGAGATAGTTTTTGGCGATATATACCTTTTCTATAAATTTTTGAGAGACATGCTATGCAGAGGGAACAATATCTGGGCTGGAATATTTGTTTAAAGAATATTTTGGCTTACAGACAGAAACATGACACAGTAAGAATAAAAAGTGCTGATGTGAGGGAGGAAGGAGTGAGAGTTTTCACTGGCATAATCAATGACTAGAGTAGTTTATGGTATACATTTTTTAATTGTAGTAAGTGAAATACAGCTATGATTTATTAAAATACAGGGTTTTTTTTAAATAAAAAGGATAAACACATAAATTCTGGTCTTGGCCACCAAAGCCAGCATTATATTATATGAACGATTCCACTTCATGACATCTTTGAAGAAAAAGTACTTAATGTCATCATTGCCTTTATGTCTGGATTCTTTCACGACCTTACCTGAAATTTGCAGAATTGTGACTGATCATTCCCTGGATTCTCAGTGTTTAGTCTTTTATACAACACAGAGTAGATGTTAAAGAATTATTTGTTTTATTAAGTGGTAAAAATTTCATGGATAGCTTTTATCTAATTTTACCTTTAACAGTAAATACCATCGGGCCTCCCCGGTGGCGCAGCGGTTGAGCGCTGGGTTGCGAAGCTGCCCGCGTCCTCTGTGGCGCCGTTTCGATCCCCGGCTGCTCCCCAGCCACCGGAGGAGGATCCCACATGGCGCGCAGACCTCTCCTGCCGCCCGCTGCTCCCCTCAGCAGTGTACTTCGGTCCTTCTGCCTGCTCTGCTCCCCACTCTGGCTCTGGTGAATTCTCTCACCCTCCCGTGCTTCTGACTGTACCCAGTGCATGTATAAACAAAACAAACAAACAAATAAAATAAATAAATAAAAAATAAAAAACATGCCTCTATAAAAAAAAAACAGTAAATACCATCAATACCTAATTGATTCATAAAACATATATGGTAGTATTTGATAATATATTTTTCAACCCAGAGATGAACAAAATCAAATTTCTAATGCTATCTTGTTTGAACAAACTAGACAGAACTTGAGTAGCATAGTTTCATTTATAATTGATTTACCAAAGCACACTGTTTCACGTGCTTTTGATTATCTACCTACACATTATTCGTCAGGTACAGTATCTAGTACCTGACCTGGCACATAGGAGACACTCAACAAATGTGCCATTTTCTACTAGTGTGCAGTGACTTAAAATCACACAGAAACTTCATTTATCATCCCTTTTTTGTGTTGGATATTCTCCAGAGTATATTATTCAGAGTTCTGTTTCTCCCTTTGAATTTTTTCCCCTTAATTAATGTATCTACTACTATGGCTTAATCTATCAACTCTACGCCAATATACAGGATTCACCATCAAAAGCTTTATCAAGTAAGGCAGAAAAGATGATCAGTGACCAATTGGTGATTTCTTCCATTCTAGTAAATTGATTTCTCAGGCATTCAGTTTCCTGAATGTTCAACAAATTATTGATGGTTTATTATGTGTTAGGCATTTGTGCTAAGTATAAGAGAAGCAAATATGTTCATAATAAATTGGAGGAAAACAGAAATGTAAAGTATTCCAATAAATAATAATGCTGATATATTAAAATTGCTCTTGGAGAACAGAAAAAAATACATATTATTTTAAAGGGGCATCTTAGGCCATTTATTTCAGTTATTTCAAACTCTGTTAATTATTTCAAATTCCAAACAAAGTAACTATGGTGATATAGCCAGTAAATTAGATTAAGCAAATATTTTTGACATATTCAGTAGTATGTTAGTACAGCCACAGGAAATAGAGCTCTGTTTAAATCCCATTTCTATTACTTATTAGTTGTATGACATTGGCTCATACTAATTTACCAATAAATGATTAAACAGAGAAATTGGGTATCAAACAATAACAGCTTGTGAAACTATTGGATAAAAAATGATGTAAGATACAATCTCTGTTGGGCCTCCCCTGGTGGTGCAGCGGTTGAGCGCTGGGCTGCAAGGCTGCCCGCAGCCTCTGCAGCGCCGGTTCGTTCCCATCGCCGGAGAGGGTCCCACCAAAAAAAAAAAAAAAAAAAAAAAGTTTAAATCTCTGTTTTCAAATTATTTGCAGTCTAATAAGGAATAAAATACCACAGCACATAAGCAATTAAAATTCAAGATAGAGGGCCTCCCCGGTGGCGCAGCAGTTGAGTGCTGGACTGCAAAGCTGCCCGCATGGGCCTCTGCAGCACTGGTTCGATCCCTGGCCGCCGGCGAGGGTCCCACATGGTGTGCAGACCTCTCCTGCCGCGCCCGCTGCTCCCCTCAGCAGTGTATTTCTTCGTCAGTCTGCCCGTTCTCCCCGCTCTGGCTCTGGTGAATTCTCTCACCCTCCCGTGCTTCTGACTGTACCCAATGCTTTTATAAATTAAATAAATAAATAAATAAATAATTCAAGATAGAATACAGTGATTCCATAACAACTTCATGGATGTAAGTATAGTTGTTTAGGAAAGTCAGATCTTATTTAAGAAAAAATAATAATTTAAAATTGGTTCCTAAAGGATAGGCAGCTCTTCACAAATTTTAGAAGGGGAAGACAAAAAAATAATAATAAAGTGAAGAAGGAAAAACAATAGCTATGTTCCAGGAGCAGAAAGATAAGCAAAGAATGTATTGAGGAAACAGTGTCTTTATTTTGTCTGGCGCTTAGAACAATAATGAGATGGCCAGAAAGGTTGTTTGGGGATAGCTATCAATCTTCAGTTTCATATTAAGAAGTCTATACATAATTTTGTACATGTGGAGAAACCATTAAAAGTTTTTGGGCAGAGTGATATAATGAGGGACCTCCCTGGCGAGCAGGGGTTAAGACACAGCCTATGAAGCTGTCCACAGCCACCATAGCACCAGTTCGATCCCCGGCCAGAGAGCAACCCACATGGCCAGCAGATTTCTCCTGTCTCGCCGGTTGCTCAAGTCAGCAGTGTTATTTCAGTCAATCTGCCTGCTCTGTTCCCCACTCTGTCTCTGGTGAATCCTCTCACCCCCCACACCTCTGGCCTGTACCCCAGTTCTTGTATGCATAAATAAATAAATCTTTAAAAAAAGTGATATAATGGGCCTCCCCGGTGGCGCAGCGGTTGAGCGCTGGGTTGTAAAGCTGACCGCAGCCTCTGCAGCGCCGGTTTGATCTCTGGCCACCGGGTGAGGGTCCCACATGGCACGCAGACCTCTCCTGCCGCCCGCTGCTCCCCTCAGCAGTGTATCTCATCAGTTTGTCTGTTCTGCTCCCTGCTCTGGCTCTGGTGAATTCTCTTACCCTCCTGCGCTTCTGACTGTACCCAGTGCTTGTATAAATAATAAAAAAAAAGTGATATAATGAAAGTTGTCCTTTAAGAATATTGAAATGGCAGTGATATAATAGAAAGTTCTATAAGAAATTGGTTTGGGAGAATGTCATACTTTTATAATTGTAGGTATATGAGGAAAAGAAGATCTGAACTAGGAAAGTGGCAGAGGGATTCAGAAAATTAAAAAAAATGTTCCAGGGTGGACTCTAACCAACTTAGGTAGATTATCTCTCAGTCCTCAAGATTTTAAACCTAAATGAGAGTAAGAATGATAGTGACATTAGTAGGATAAACTGATGGAGGAATTAAGGTGGGAGAGTTGAACAAAATTAACTTCTCACTTGTTCAACTAATTTGTCCACAGAACATCTAACAAGCTCATCAAGTTGGAAATACAAATCTGATCTTTTTTTTTTATTTATTTTATTTTTTTAATTTTTATTTTTTTTAATTTTATTTTTATATTCCCCATACAATTGCAACTCCCTTATTTTGACCCCAATCCCTCCTTTCCCTGCCCCCCAACCCCCATAGAGTGTCTCTGGTTCATAGTTGTTTGTTGATTTTTACTTTCTTATAGTTATTCTTTTTCCTGGTCCCTTATTTAAGTTTTCTAGATTCCTGCTATGAGTGAGACCATCTGGTATTTTTCTTTTTCTTTCTGGCTTATTTCGCTGAGCATGATCCCTTCCAGCGCCATCCATATTGCTGCAAATTGCATGTGTTTATCTTTTTTGAATGCTGAGTAATATTCCATGGTGTATATGTACCACATCTTCTTGATCCAGTCATCTATTATGGGCATTTGGGTTGTTTCCAAAGCTTAGCTATTGTAAACAGTGCTGCTATAAACATAGGGGTGCAGGTGCTCTTTGTAATTGATGTTTCTGTGTCATTTGGGTAAATACCTAGGAGTGGAATTGCTGGATCATACGGAAGCTCTAAGTTTAGTAGGTCAAGAAATCTCCACACAGCTCTCCATAGTGGTTGGACAGTTTGCACTCCCACCAGCAGTGCAGGAGAGTTCATTTTTCTCCACAACCTCGCCAACAACAAATCTGATCTTTTAAGGAAAGGCTGGAATTACAAATTTCAGATACATCTATTATAAAATTAAATTGTATGAATAGTTGACATACCCAAGGGAAAGTTTTTGAAGGAAAATATTGCTGAGGACAGATTTTGGGAATAGTAGAAAGCAAAAAGAAAGGTGGTAGGCATGGTTATGAATGTTGTAGAAAGTTGAGCCTAAAGAAACACTATTGGATTTAATATCTAAGGGACATAATGACCTTCAAAATAGCGTTTTCAATGGCACAAGAGCGAGGCATTAAAGAAAAAGTTAAACTGAACATGTTTGGCAGTTAAAAAGGCAAGTCCCAAGTC